AAATCTTTCCTCGTTTCAGGGAGTGGCCAGGACTCTGTAAGCAACTGTTGCAGATTTCTGGTTTGCGTGGCACCGAAGCGTATCGGAAGGCTGAAGAAGTCGTGCTGGAAGATGAAGAGGACCGGGGACGTGCCCAAAACGGCACGGGCACTCCCAGTCACATAGGGAATGAACCTCTGATGACCAACGGTAACTCTGACGGCCCGGAACCTCATGCAGCTCCTTTCGCTGCGATCAACGTTGACCCTCCTGCTCAAGGCACTGACTTCGAAGATCCTGTTGTCGATATACAAGACAGGATCCAATTTGGACTCAACAACTTGACTACTTCCTCGCTCCAAACGACTTTTAGAGAAATCCACGAGGTTTTGGAAGATCAGCACCAGCAGTGGTTTGCCAGTCATCTTGTCGAAGAGCGGGCAAAAATGCAGCCAAATTACCACCAGGTATACCTTGATTTGGTGAAGCTCTTCCAAGATTCGGGTCTGTGGTCTGAAGTGTTGAGACAAACCTATATTAGTGTTGCTCGCATGCTGAACTCAGAGAGCACAATGCAGAACTCAACTGATCGAACCCATCTAAAGTATTTGGGTGCTTGGTTGGGACTTCTGACTATAGCGCGGGACCAACCGATTAAGCATAAGAACATTGCTTTTAAGCAGCTGCTTATCGAGGCGCACGACACCAAGAGACTAGTGGTCGTAGTACCATTTGTCTGCAAGGTCCTAATTCAGGCTGCAAAGTCAACTATCTTTCGACCGCCAAATCCGTGGTTGATGGACATTATCCACCTCCTCATCGAACTTTACCATCACGCCGAACTAAAGCTGAACCAAAAGTTTGAGATTGAGGTGCTCTGTAAAGACCTAAACCTAGATCATAAGAGCATTGAACCATCTACCGAGCTTCAAGACCGTGCACCCGTCGAAGAAGTTACAGATATTGGTGCGCAAGACCCTCTCGAACATTTCGAGAATATGTCTTTGAATGGTATGGCTAGCGCTGTCCCAACCGGCCTTACGCCGCACCCCATCCCAGTCACCATTCCAGACATTAGTGGCCTCTTATCAATTCCACCAACAAACGAAATGGTTATCAACAGTGTCCGTCTTCATGAAATTGTTCGGAATGCGGTAACGAAGGCGCTGCAGGATATAATTCAACCTGTTGTCGATCGATCCGTTACTATCGCCGCGATCAGTACACAACAAATGATTCATAAGGACTTTGCAACTGAGCCTGACGAGAGCAAGCTCCGAACATCTGCTATCAATATGGTCAAAGCCACCGCCGGAAGTCTTGCCCAGGTTACGTCGAAAGAACCTCTCAGAGCCAACATCACCAATTATATGCGAAACGCCGCAGGCGAACTGCCTCACTCGCTTCCCGAGGGTACGATTATTATGTGTGTTAACTCTAATCTCGAGCTTGCGTGCAGCGTAATTGAAAAGCAAGCCGAGGAGCGAGCGGTTCCAGAAATCGAAGAGATGATAGAGGGCGAAATGGAAGCAAGGCGTCGACACCGTCTGCAACGGCCCAATGAGCCATACGTCGACCCCGGCCTTAGCAGGTGGGCGATGACCATTCCTCATCCCTACAAGCTCTCTCCCAATATGGCTGGTTTGAACACGGAGCAGATGGCCATATACGATGATTTTGCCAGGCAGCCACGAGGTGCCACCCAAGCTGCGCCAACTCACGGCGCATCAGCCTCGGATGCGACCAGGAACATTGCGAACGAGGTTCTCCAAGATCAGTATAGCTCTGTACCCAGCCTCGCTACTCCGGCCGAGACCCCTTCTCTTCCACATCTTAATACGCAGCTACCCTATTCTCATGTGCATGGTGGAATGACGAATGGTCGCCCTTCGGCCCATCCTTTAGATGGAAGAGGGTTAATGGAGAAGGTAGAGAGGCTCTTATCTGAACTCAAACGTACTACCACCTCGACGGACGAGGAGCACTTCAGCGACCTTCCTAGGTCCCACCCAGTCTTGGAAGTCGTCGATGTCTTCACTCAGCTCATTATCAACACGTCCCAAAACTCGGACGAGTTCGCGTTCTACGCTGCCGAAAAGATTTGTCAGCTGCTCTTCAGCGGAGTGGAAAATACTCTCTTCTTAGAAAGCCTTGTCCACATCCTCGAGCAGTTGTTGAAGATCGCTGCAAGCTCGGGCACCGCGCTACATGACCGGGTGCAGATCAGCTTCTACCAGCAGCCGCCCCAGAATATTCTCAATATTTCTTTGATTACAGCGCTGCTCCCGACGGACTTCCTCGATCTACACAGTATCGACAATATGCTGTCCAAAATGCTGTTACAAAAGGAGGAAGGCTATCTAGAGTTCTTTGATAAACTCCTAGATCTGACTCTATTCAATGAACGGCCTATGGCACTCTTCGCAGACTTTGTACGCAGTTTAGAAGTTGCATGGGAATGGATTACCGACAATCCCAACCTTGAAATCGGCCAGCGGCTAAAGTCGAAGTTCCTTAATTCCGGCCTTATCAAACCGCAAAGTCGAGACGACACGGAGCAACTAGAACAATTCGAGTACATCTTCGACGAATGGGTCCGTCTCCATAACAATCACAACGCGCCAGACAAGGCACGAGTAGCCTTCGTGAAGCAGATTCGTAACCAGAACATCATCGCTAACAAGGACGATTTCGCAATCTTCGCGCGAAGGGCTACCGACATGACGGTCAATTACTACGAGCAGGTGTTGCACGCGGGAGGGAGCACCGCCGAAGCCTTCGCTGCCGTGGATGCTCTCGTAAAGATGGTCGCAATCTTTGCTAGGGAGAACGGCGCCGATCAAGAGGATCCTAAGACTGGGATTATTCCCGTCCTGGAGACCGTTACGTCGCTCTTTGCAGTTGTTCTGAATCACCACCACGTTACAAGAGGTGAACATTTTAATCAGAGAATTTTCTTCCGCCTGTTCTCTATGCTCCTGCATAGTGCCGACTCGATTTTTGCGGAAACCCCAAATCCCGAGTCTTGCCGGCAAGAGTTCCTAGTGCGATTCTCCTGGGCGTTATTACAGCTCAATCCCGAACGTTTCCCCGGGTTTTCCTTTGCGTGGCTCAGCCTCGTAGGACACCGACGCTTCATGCCTGACATCCTTCTGCTCGAATCTAAGTGCGGTTGGGCTCCCTACACTAAACTCCTGAAATGTCTTCTGAGACATGTCTCGGCTCACATGAAAGCCATCGACGTAACCGATATCATTAAGGAATACTACCGTGCAGTTGTCAAATTCCTAGTGATATTGGCTCACGACTTTACGGACTACGTATCAGCGAATGTCACCCAGCTGTGCTCAAGCATCTCTCCTCATTGCACCCAATTGAGAAATATCGTGCTTAACTGTAGCCCACGATCCGAAGCCGGAGAACTAGTCTCCCAGGACTCTCAGGCAGATGCTTCTCATAGTCTGTCGTACTTGAGAGATGCTGGCATGTTGGAAATACTAGAGCAGCTTGTCCAAGCCCCACCCTCTGAGGATGCAATTGCCCACCTTACGCATGCCATTAATAAGAGTAATGCAAGCGATACAACGTACGGCAACGTCCCGCTGGGTGTTAACTGCAAAGTCATTGATGCTATTGCGACTTTCTTTGGCCACCACGCCACTATGATGGCCCGTCAAGAGAGACCGGTCTATACTCCCAGCGCCCCGGATGCCGCGACGCTTTCGTTGTTGGTGCACGAACTGCAGCCCCAGGCTCGATATTTCCTCATCAGCAGCATGGTCGATCGTCTGCGCCATTACAGTCCTGTAACCGAGTTCTTCAGCTATGTCATCTTTGACATTTTCGGCCAAGATCTCAACGACCCTGAGGAAGCTGATATTCGCCAGCAAATAGTTCGCGTGCTGCTGGAGAGAATTGCCAGTTTCTGGCCCCAGCCATTCGGTCTTACAATGGTCATTATGGAGCTGGTAACGAAGGAAAAGTATCATTTCTTCGACCAGCCGTTTATCAAAGCAGATCGCGATGTGAGTATTCCCTTCTCGGTCCCCTTTGTCACGAGGGACTCGGAGCTAATTGTAAAATTAAAAACAGATCGCAGACCAATTTATGGCGTTTGCGAGACAGCATAATCAGTAAATATTAGACACGACTCGTTATAACGAGTAAAAGGCGTCAATCGGCGGCTTATCTCCCGATATGATACTAAATAGATGATAACTAATCACGACGGCTCTTGAGCAACCAAGACCTCACGTACAAGGACAGCATGAAACTTGGAGAGGCACATGAAGGTGGAAGGGGATTCTTGAGAAAGCGATACCATAGCGGCGCAAAACAAAAACGCGGTAGAGATGGATGTTTGATGAGTGGCATTTCATGGCGTCTGCGGTGAATTAACGAAACTTTGTATGATTCAGAACTAAGGTCGAGGAGGCACACAATACGGGCCAACCATAGCGCAACGGTTCTGTTTTCTTGGTGTGTGTCCGTGGGGCATGTGTATTAATATATAAAGGTAGACACGGCAAATACGGGTCTATCTTAACGTGACGCTGTGCTATTACGATTTGCTTCATGATGAGTTGCAATTGTACTCGTACTTTGCTTAGGTATGAAAATGGAGATGATGATTACCTATCTGCTTATTTATTCCCACTTCGTAATTATCTTTCATTTTTCATTACTTCCTGTTGGCAGGTGGTCCACGTCGTGATCGCGAGTCATGGTTATAGCATCAAGGGAAGGAACGAGGCCCCCAGGGCCGATTATATAAACAGACGAGGTCCCGTAGTCCTTTTAGATTCAACAACGCTTCCGCAATACAAGACCAGTTCCACACTAGGAGTCTTGTTATATCTTGGCGGTTAGGCTTGGATGACGTCGGTATAAAATTTTTTTTTCTTGTCATTTACACTTCTTTTGAACTACTACAAACGAACATTATTATATTATATTATATTAGACATTTAATACTCAATATCATCCATCCACTTATCACTCGTCACTTATCACTTATTATTAGTATAACTTCAAGATAGACATATATGTACCCTTCTCCCCGGCAATATGCCGTCCTTACCGTACCACGAACCTTCCATCATCCAGCTACTCACCCTATCCACCTTCCTCCTCGCGCTCAACGCCATCAACGCCGTCCTCGACCGCGCGCTGTACTGCGGGCTCGTGGGACAGGTCCTAATCGGCGTGGTGTGGGGCGCGCCGGGCGGTAACTGGTTGGCGGCCGAGCTCCAACTGGCTATCGTGCAGCTCGGGTATATAGGCCTGGTACTGCTTGTGTTCGAGGGGGGCGTGACAACGCGCGTCGATGCGGTACGAAGGAACATGGGGCTGAGCGCGGGGGTCGCGGCCACGGGGGTCGCGGCGCCGATGGCGTTCGGGTTTGCGGTGCTGGGGGCGCTGGGGGGCGCGGATGCGAAGATGGGGTTTGCGGCGGGGGCGGCGCTGTGCGTGACTAGTCTTGGCACGACGTTTGCGGTCCTGGAGACGAGCGGGTTGACGGATACTAGGGTGGGCACGGTGTTGGGGACTGCGGCGATGATGGATGATGTGTTGGGGTTGGTTCTGGCGGAGATTGTGTCGAGTATGGGTGGGGAGGAGAGTATGGATATTGGGAATACGGTGCTTAGGCCGGTGTTGGTCTCGCTTGCGTTTGCGGCGGCGGTGCCGGTTGTTTGTCGGTTTGTGCTGAGGCCTTTTGTTATTCCGGTGGTGAGGAGGGCTAGAACTAGGGATGGGGATGGGGATGGAGAGACGGGTCGGACGGGGTGGTGGCGATGGGATTTCTTGGATTCGAAGCAGGTCGCCTTCGTGGTACAGACGGTGCTCCTAATCGCCCTCGTCGTGGGCGCTAGTTTTGCGGGCGCGTCTGTGCTTCTTGCTGCGTATCTTGCTGGCATCACGATCAGTTGGTGGGAAGATACTCTAAGCAGCAGTGACAGCGACAGCTTAGCCGACGAGCAAAGACCAAGAAGTCACCATGCTGCATCTTCTCAAGAGCAGCAAAGAGCCGAACCTCAGAGAGAGGGTTCGGAGCTTTCGCAGACGTCAGAAGAACCTACGGTGCAAGCAGCCGATAATAGCAGCAATGCTTCGATTACATCTCAGGCACCAGCTTCCAGGGAATGCCAACAGCAAAAGCCAGAGCACAATGCCCACGATGCCCTTGATATCTACGAAACTTACTATTCGCAAGCAGTCACTCGAATCCTAAAGCCCTTCTTCTTCGCTTCTATCGGCTTTTCGATCCCTATCTCTGAGATGTTCTCAGGAGAAGTGATATGGCGCGGGGTTATCTACGGCATACTCATGGCAATTGGCAAGATGATGTGCGGCCTATGGCTGGTGCGATTTCCCCTCTCCCTCTCCACCAGCGGACTCGTAAGAGCCTTCGTCTCATTCTTCTCGTCTCGGTATCGAGCCCTTTTCTCGAGGTTTCGCCACCCGCGAAAGGCGAATAGCTCGCCTCCAGCAAAAACTACAGTGCCTACGGAAGGAGTCGAGCTTGAGCCAGTTGCTGTCACCACTCCCCAATCTATTAGGGATGGAAAGTCAGAGGGCGTCGTGGATCCATCAGGGGAAATGCTACAGCGACGAGAATCCCAAGCCGGAAAAGACAGCGGCTTACAAGAGACTGCTACGCCAGCAAAGCCACTCTCGCTCTATCCAGCTGCTATAGTGTCATCCGCGATGGTGGCTAGGGGTGAGATCGGATTCTTAATATCAGCCGTAGCGGAGAGCAATGGTGTTTTCCGGCGGCCTTCAGACAGCGGCAAAGAAGGCGCTTCTGAGCTCTTCCTCATTGTTACGTGGGCTATCGTTTTGTGCACTATTTTCGGGCCGATATGCGTCGGGATGCTCGTCGGGAGAGTAAAAAAGCTCGAGGCGCGGGCTGCGAAGGCCGGAGAGAGGGGCACGAAGAATGTGCTTGGGGTTTGGGGTGTACAGTAAGTGTGTTAGTATTAGCTACAGTAGACAGCTACAATAGACAGAAAGGTAGTCCATGGCCAGCATATAAAGAGACAACTACACGCATACACCTCCTCCCAATAGGTAGGTAGAGCCTCAATCTCCCTATAGATAACTAAGCATTTAACAAGTAAATACAGAGGGTCCTACACAAACGAGTTAACTCCCTACCTATATTTTAATAACCCATTAAAATGAAGTATTACTTACCAGGGATCACGTAAGGGCTGCTAGTTCCTGGGGGCTTGTTGTAAATGTCGATGAGTAGGCCGGGGTCGTTAGACTATGAACATATTAACCTAGCCGATTAATGATATAAAAGTCAAAGTCCCATATATACCTTATAGATACCCGGGATGCTCGCCGTTGTTGGCTTCTTGGTTGCCTTACCACCGATAACGTTGATCTGAGCGCATTCCATCTACAGCTTTCGCGTTAGCGCGGTCTGGACTCTGAATACCGGATAGGTTTTAACTCTATCGAGAACTGACATATAGTTGCGCGCCATTTTGTGACCTAGCGCCGTGGAGAGCTATCATCTCAGCGCGAAGAAGGTATTGTCCGTCCTCTATGCACTCGGGGATCTTAATTTGCTGGTTACCGCCGTTGCTAATGACGGTGTCGGTGCCCCATTTCCCATTGCTGTAGCCCTCCTCCTGGATTTTGAACCAGCCATCGCCGACACCACTGTCCTTAGTTGCGTCCGAGACCTTCTTGAGGTATGCCATAACAGGGCCTTTGTGCCCTGGGTCCATGACATCGTTGGCCCCAGCTGTTTTGCCGCCACGTTCGGGTTAGCGAGATTACTTCCGAGTTCTACTGAAACTCTCACATTGTAGGGTGTGGCGCCAGATAGCGCCCACGGTGTCGCCGGCCTTTACATCAATGATCTTGTCCGAAGGGGTAGTCGGATTGGGAGGGCCGTTGCATGCCAGGTTGTTGTTATTCACATCCGTTTGCGGCTAACACGTAACGTTAGGAGCCATCGAAACTAATATATTACCTGTAACGAGTAATTTAGAACGGGATTATACATACGCCATCATACGTGGGCGTTCGGATGGCATGTGACACGGCTAGGAGGCGTCAGAGTTCTCTTCAGAGATTAATCATCGTTAAAAGAGGAATACTCACGATACGTCTTTTCGTTTGTCTTGAGCTGACAGAAAATAGTATGACCGGATGCCACTGATGCTAAAACGGTGGCAGCTCCGAGACTTGAGAACTTCATTGTGATTTAATAATACGACTAGTCAACTATCGACAATCGCAAATCTTAGTTAAAGATATGATGCTAGGTACAGAAACTTCGAGGGAGACGGTCTATTTTGTATTTGATATTCTCTGCCATATATATATCACTACAGTTGCCCTAGAGCCTCCTTTTCTCCAGATTATCCCCGTTCCATCATATGCATACTCTATATAGTATCCACAGCTAGTCCGCACCATTCACGGCATCGAGAAAGAGTAGGCTAGGAGCACAAGGCCAGATTCTACTAGCTACGAGCCACGGGTACTGGCGAATGAGGTATCAGAGGGGGGAAACGAACGCGGCGTGAAAGCCTCCGTGGTAAATTCGGCAATTCATACTTAGCATAACCGCTTGCTATTGTTAATATATTCTCCTACAACATCAGCCAAACCTCTCACGTTCCCCGGGTTTATATATCTTCGGTTCGAGGTGAGAAGTAGGCATTTCGCTATCTCCCGTTCCCCGCGTTAGACGCACCCCAGATGCCAAGATTTCTTCGTCCGGGGATTTGTTACGTACGAAGCTGATTAAGGGGTTTCACAAATACACGTAGGGAGGACCATGACGATAAATTAATTTTAATTGCTTATAAATATTTAACTCTTACTTTTTAGAGGGATAATAAAATACCTAGCTGTGTCTTATTATATGGGCCTCAGAAGCTGAATCATCTCAAGATATTACCGGCGCTAGGTATCACGAAACGAAGCAAGTGCTTCGAAATCTAGAACTATATAAGATAATCAGCTTTAATATGCCATTACTATAGATTTAATAACTTATTTTACTTGTATAACTGTTTATAAAATAAAAAATAAAATTAGCTACTAACGTAGGCTAGTCGTGTCTCTATATTGCTTTTACATTTTAACATGTCGAAACCAGCTACCTATACTAAGTCCCGTTTCTAGTGTCAGCGAGTATGTTAATTTACTCCGCGGTAAAGCAATGCCGTCAATGGTGGACATGTTACAGATATATTTCTTATCTAGGTTTAATTGGCTGAGTGCTTTGCACCATTCCTCTAATGATATGTTTTGAGGCTCTTCGAGGACTTAGTTCGTTAATATAAGTGGGATATATGGCATTGTTGCACACCAGGGCATAATCGAGTTTATATTTCCCTCTTATAATAACAACTAGAATAACTTCCTTACCTTAGTAGACTAGCAATATTCTTGTTAATAGTCTTTAAGTTACATTTTTAGTTGTATCCGAGTCTTCTCTTAGGAAAAGCCTGCGCCGTATGAGAGCCAGAAAATTATAAACGTATGTTGATAATATAATTTGAATGATTTTCAATGAAATCAATGGTGTGTAACTCCGATAACACCTTAGAAAACAATGATATCACGTATTCTCAATATCGTATAACTATAGGTACCTATATAAGACAACTTTTTTCTTTTTCTTGAACAGGTCAATCTTACTGTACACATACCTACATGATCTGGTTTAACTGAATAGTTAACTTGAATGTATAACTACCTGTCTTACTTTATGAGATCCTCCAGAAACACGGGTCCCCTTTTCGTAAGCGCGGCCCGACCCGTAGGAGTGTCAAACGGGTGAGACGCGTTGCTAATAAAGACCATGATCCAAGGAAGTGTCAATCTTTGGTGAAACCATGAAGATTCTAAAAGTAAAATATTTTTTATATATAAATATTATATATAGGCATGAAGCTCATATCCTCGGACGTCGGTGAAGGAAAGCGAACCGTTCGGGGCTCCTATGTAAAGCAGGATTTGACCTGGCGTCTAATTTGAATACCATACCAAAATCATATTTCGGCCTTTCTTGAGAAGCTGTCTTTGATATAAGCCCGGAATAGCCCCTTTCGCCAACTCCATAACCATGTGGACCTGATCCTCATTCATTTCTCGGTAGGGCTTATGGGAGCCTCGTATCCGGTAGGCCTAGTATTGAGTAACGAATATGTAGGCCGTTCATACAAAACCTCGGTCTATCATCTGACTGGCGCATAGGATTTATCATAACCCCCCCTTCTTATTTTTTTTTATTTTTCCATTGACAAGAAGGTTTGGCTAGCCTTTATATATTCTTGATTTCTCTGCTCGGCGCTTCTCTATACGGCATAAATAAGCTCACTAGCGCCTTGCAATTTTAAGATGGTGGACCATTTGTGGTGCTATAAGTTTCCTATGCGGAATAGAGTAAGCGAGTAACGCGTTTGAAATTACCGCGTTCTTAAATCCATACGTAATAAGAATAGTAGGTTAGACGACTGGACACGAGACCGGAAAAAAAAAGTTCGGACAGCTCAAAGAGTGTCTGGGATCAAGTAGAGAAACCGGCCATGTCTTAACATACTACATATACGTATAATGACGTTCGAAGAGCCGGTCGCCACTTGGAGATGAAAGATCAGAAGATTTGCCGCCTTATGCGAGAATTTTGCATTTCAACGTTGCCTCTGAAATACCTAAACTGGGTCGGGTTCAGCAGACCATCGGTTGTAGTACTACGTCCGTGGTTTCTGGTAACATTACATTGAGCGTCCTGATGTGACAAGCCGTCGTACTTGTAGTTATTAATATTCGACTATCCTGGACTGGACGAGAATAGGGGGGTTCTGAGCAATTATCCTTATGTATGACTTTGAGCCTTGGAGGAATAAAATAAAATACTACTGTCTTGTCTAGTATTCTGCGATTAACGTACCGAGTTGTTCTCCGGATCGGACCGGATGGCCATTTCGGCAGGGACCAAAGAGCTGAGTCTTGAGATTTCTCTGACTTGATGGCAAGGCTTGAGCTGATAGGCTTGCCTGCATATCGCCTCCCTTCTAGGCTTCTACGACGCACCACATATGGCTGTGCTACGGAATACATAGTATGTATGTTAGGTACTATGTAGATAAAAGCCGAGGCTGCATCGAGTACGAGGTCTAGTGTTAGTGTAGGTGGTCTGGTAGTCTGATATTTAAGCTAGTACCTCCTGGGTCAGCGCCCCAGCAGACCGGCAGTCCCGGGTGAGTGGTTCGGTACTGTGCGATATTGCGCCGGTGATCGGCACGTGGAATTGATCGTTTTGATCGTATCGAGGTATGTGCGTATGGTATGTGCGTATTTCGTAAGCAGATTGGCAGATTGGCAGATACAGTCGATTTTCAACACTGTATGAGCACCTGGGCACTGTGTGATGGCCGGTGGATTCGGTGGAGCTGATGATCTAAGACAGTTATTAGGGGTCCATCGCACGGTCTGGCCTACTATGTACAATACTAAGGTACATATCTCAGCTCAATCGCCCCCACTTCCTAAAAACAGCGTTACAGACATGAGATCCCGCTCGCTTGCAGTTGATTTCCGAATGAGGTAGGCCATCCTTTTTTTGGTTGGTTCACCGGTTGGCTGGTTGGCTGGTTGGCTGGCCGACTGTGGAATACTCGACGACGTGCATTAAATAAAAATCATAGAAACTGGGTGGTCAGATGTAGGAGGTAAGTGTTGGCATTACATATTAGGTACAGATCCGTATGTATATATTGTGAGATGTATGTATTATTATCGCTTAGTGACGAGTTGCGATAACGGGCTATTTTGAGGGGTTAGGCAAAGTACGAGTCAGGCTCTCTCGACAGACCTGGAGTACCTAGGTAATGTATGTAGGCAACGAGGGGGAGGGGCATTAATGGTATGATTCGATGCGTGACTAAATCAAAAGTAATCTTATCGGGCTTATAAGAAAAAGACCCGGCTTCCAAGATTGAAAAATACCTAGGCAGCTAGGTTACCTAATTACGAATTGCATATTAGTAGGTATTTATACATAGTAAAATGAGGAGGTGCAAGTATGTAAAACGACAGTTATGACTCTCTGATGAGCATAGGATTGACAAGCGATGTGCAGCTAATGATCCAATAAGATGATGCGCATTTGAGGAAGTTTCTCGCGTGCGTAGCGGAAACGTACGACTCGGGACTCAACTATTTTTTATTAGCAGAATTAGGTACCTACTTACATACTATGTTAACGTCATGCAACTCCGCAAGTTTCAGATTGGCCTGGTCTTGTCCATACACTATATGAAAAAAAGGTTAGGCGCGGTACTTTTACGGTACATCCATACATACGTATTTCTATACCGGGTGCTAGGACCACGTTGGTGCGGTTTGCGGGAATCTTCCGGCCAGCAACCAATTCAGGAAGCTAGAGTCTATGTGATTGGTACGGCGTTAATATAGGCAGTGTCGACCTGTAACTGGCTAACTGGCACCTAAACAAGCCAATGCAGGTCAGCCAACCCATCTTCTAGCTAGCTCGTACATAATATTGGGATTGGACGTGTAATTCGCGGCATTTAGGTTTATCTTATTGGGGAAATCTTACTTTCCGTTACACATAGGCAAGAATTAGTTCCCCTTCGCAAATTATAATATCACGGAGAATTGATACGCGGAATCTGGCATAGGCGTGTCTGTTGTTGAATACTGAATACTGCTAACAATGGAATATCGGGTATCGATGAGGTATCAGTCAAGCTCAAAATCATGTATACTACGTATATACCCACAGTATGCATGTACATACCCTTGCTAGGCCGGTTTTCGCCCGCTTTGCTCCGCACGTACCAGACCTAGACTCTTGCTCTTGCTCTTTTTTTTCTTGAGCATTTTCTTTTCTCGCTAGGCTTGTACAACAGTAGATTTCCCCACTACTCTTACATCCAAATATTCAAATCGGACTTCTTTTTCATGAGAAGCGGGACACTAATAGGAAGAGAAGTATGTGTTTAGAACCATTATTAAGTTATTAGGCACTGAATGGGAAAGCTCCCACCTATACGAAGTAGTGAATATTATATAGAAGAGGCGACCATCGTTTGACAAGTCCACCACTCTCTTTATAAATTACCCAATTTTGGTACTTTGGGGTCGTCAATCTGCACAATGCATTGCCTGCATGTCTACAAGTCTACATGCTTGCTTACCGCCTTTTTTTCCTGGGTTGAACACCCCATGCTGCGATCTTGAAAGTAAACAGATCATGCGAATCTGACACCGACTACATACATACTATGTAGTACTCGGCAAACTATGTAAAGTCGTCACAGTTGCAACCTTGTAAAATATATAATAACAGAATATGTAAATTAATATGTATATATGTATACCTTACCTCATGTGGCAATCCTTTGCGTAATATGATGGATATGATGGATATCGAATAGAGGGAGCTCGGAAGCACGGACAATGGACCCCTAAAATTGAAGAGAGGGAAAAAAAAAAGTTTCTGGTTGGCTTCTTTTTATGGTAACGGCCAGACAAATTTTGGACGAGCCGTTGGAGCTAAACTTGAAGTTGATTGGTTTGATACTTCTAAACGGGGCAATAGATGTACAAGGGATTATCCTTGAATACAACGCTAGGGCCAAGAGGTACCTAGGTACATAATATACTTCTGCAGTAACAACCAGTCCCTCTCAATTCTTGTATGGGATTCGTAGCAGAATTCGAGTTCATCGTGCAAGTTCAAGCATGTCACGACCAAGTTCACCCCAATTTTTTTTCTTCCTTGTCCACTGCCTTGCTTGAAGTGGATCCCAAGATGCTTGTTCAGTACCGTTTGTACCTCTCTACCCCTGCACACAACCCCCCAGTGCCCGCCGTCCCATCAACCCCCCCCGAGTGAGGAACATCTCAGGTTTTTTTTTTTTTTTTTTTTTTTTTTTCCCCATCACGCATACACCCACTCAAAACATACATACAGTAGGCAACTTTTCTTAAGCCATCTCGCCGCCTTCCCTCCCCCAGTCCAACCGAAGCCACTTCTTTGCTTCTCCCTGCCTTCTATTCGTCAGTTTAACATCGCCGTCGCGATATCGTCGTTGTTTTTCCCACCGCCTTTCCTCGTTTCCCCCTCGCCTACCCGGTACTCGCATTTCTCGACCCCTACTACGATATCTTTATCTTCCCTAATTTTCCCTAATCCTATACCTAGGTCCCTTGTTTTACTCACCTCTCAACTCTTATCGTTGGGGTACTGTTTACGAGTTAGCTACAAACACTACGTTCTCTCAATGCAGCAGCAATCGATATAGAAGCCAATAACACAACATATCTGCGCCTTGCTTGATCCCCATCCTATCTGCCCACCATGCCGTACAATACTCGTCGCAAATCGCTATCCTTGCCGTCTCTTGGAATTCACATCCCAGTAAATCGATCCTCGCCTAATAACCACAGCATGGCATCTTCTAGATCATCATCTTCTGAGAGCTCGTCGCATCCGAATAAGAAGTTAAAACGATCTCACCACGATTCTGCACTCTCTTCGGCTGCACCTAGTTCAAAACGGATTGCTAGTCCTGTCAAGTATGACCGCACCCCGCCACCCTCGCCTGGTCTCCAAGTCTCTATTGAGATGGATGAGTCTGAGCTATCCGAACCGCTAGAGATCAAGAAAGTCGATTTAGAGGGTATAAACGATGAGATCGTTGAAGCTGTTATCGTACGATTAGAGGAGACTCGCAATCGACCTCACTTAGTCAAGGAGCTAGCTACCGCCCTCATGGACCAGGTCAAAATCGTTCAGCAGTAAGTTTAATCTACTTATTAGACTTTATCGTTTCATACCTAACTTGTTGGCTAACTTGTTTGCTAGATCCGCAAACCCTTGCGCTATCATTTCTTCTCGACTGTCTACATATTTAAAGCGATCATGTTGGTCCGCTGTTGCTCCTTGTCCTTTAGCTAAAGAGCTTGAGACTGTTCACCCGAGGCGCACGTACTTTTACCTGACCACATGTCCCCATTTACCTCTTCCAGACCCCACAGCCCAACGTGCCATTATTACACCATCACTATCAAGCTCGGCTTCCACATCTGAAGATGCCGATTGCGACCGAAGAAGAGAACTCAGCCTCTCACCTGAAGTTGATCTTTCGTCGCCCGAGTTCGATGATATGGATGAGGATATTCCCATGCCGGGGACCCCAATGGGTTCAGTGTCTGAGCGTCGTCGGTCCCTCAACGTGCCGCGCAACCCAAGGGGGGATGAGCCGCCTTTAGAAAAAGATGAAAAGGAATTCACACAGACAGCAGATGGGTTACAAAAACGAAAAGCTAGTGGTCACTTACTCCGGGTCGACCCCGCTGACCAAGTGCCGATAGATGATGGCATGCAAAATGAACAGCTCTTTGGCGAACCGCCTAGAACTCTTGCGCCGAGTCTGTTACCGCACATGGTATTCATGACAAGTCCTGCAATGCGACCGAGCATAATGCTACCTGTGAAAAAAGATACAGAAGCGGAAAACTGGACTAGACTAGACGCCATCCTTGACTGGGATAGAAGTCCCGAGACAGTCGAGCTGGATGAGTTAGATGGTTTACTCGACGACTACTGAATATCCTCAATTGGCCAATTTCTCCATCTTAATTCTTTATTTTATTGTTATTTGACGACAAGCTATCCGTGTAGCTGGCACGTACGTAGCTATGTATGATGAGATGGGAGACGGCCGCGTAAATGGTTCAAAAGGAGTTTGGCTGGGATGACGTTGGCGCTGCTGGGTTTCTCGCGTTCTGGTTCTGCATTTATTCCTCTCAGTTCATTTCGCCATTTATTCCCCTGTTACCTGTTAAATGGTTCAGCTTCTACTACTCACATACTTGGTTACTGGCTGGAGGGGAATGTACGAATATTATTTGAAGCGAGCGCGCTTAGATGGATGGCTGGGTCGCATGATGGCGACCTAAGGTATCCAGCGGACTGAAACGGCTGTCGGCGGTTAACAAAAAGATGTGCAGGGGGAGGGTAACATAGCGAAGGCCTTTGCCACTCGGTTGCCTGAAAAGGGAATCCATATGTACAATTAGAAGACCGAAAAAAGAGCCGCGAAAAATAAAAGGCTGGCTGGTTAGATGCGCTTTAGAAGCTCTAGTTAGACGGACCAGACTTAGGGCGCATTTGGAACAAAAGGAAAAAGGCGCCCAAAAATGAAATGAAATCCCCGTTCAAAAGTTTACTTTTATCAATGTTGATGCAATTTGTGATATTGGATCGTATTCCAGTGCGGGGTTTTCGGGTATATCGCTTGCAGGTATGGTACATATAATAGTGAGGCGATGACTCGATTGAAGATACAATGTTTATACACATGGAAACTTGTAGGTAATGTTGCATTATAAGTGATGTAGTAGAGTGTCCAAAAAGTTCTATGTAGTAGAATCTCTTCTACTAGGATGACTTTAATCATCCTTCTTAGGCTTGCCCTTGACGGATAGTAGCGACGACCACCAACTCGTGCTCGTCGTGGTCGAGTCCTGCTCCTCCTCGTTGCTGCTAAGGGTAGCAGCAGGAGCGGGAGCCGGCGCAGGGGTCGCACGCACGCGCATCTCAACGAGGACGTGGGTGCCAAATGTGGCAAAACCGGGACGCTCGAAACGCACAACCTCAAGACCGGGCACGGCGCGCTCGGCGGCACGCACAACGAGCTCCACGTCCCGGTTCCACCAGCACCCGAACCGCTCGAAGTGCTTGCGCGCGCTACGGTCCAGAAGCCCGTTTACGAGCTCGTACCAGCTACGTCCGTGCTCTAAGAGAATAATACGTCCGGTCTCGGGCTTAACGACCGCGGCCATGTTGGAGAGCAGGAGGACGGGATCTCGCACGCTGCAGAGTCCGAAGGTCTGGATTACGGTGTCGTATTTTGGGGGGGAGGAAGAAGAAGAAGAAGATGATGATGGTGATGGTGGGGGAGGTGGAAGGGATGTCTGCGCGTCGGCTTTGAGGAGCCGGAGGTGGTTGTTGGCTAGCGAGATGCCTTCTTCGCTATTATTATCTGCCGCCTTGGAGGCGAGTTTGGAGAATACTGGGTTCTTGGGGATTTGGTCCGCCATGAACGGTACGACTTGCCGGATCCGCGTCAGTGCGAGGTCTAGCATGGGTGGGGAGATATCTAGGCCGGTAAAGCTGAGTAGGGCATTTTCGTTTTGGGGTTGAACCCCTTTCGCCTTTACATTCTTGGGGTTCTCCTTCTCCTTCCCCTCCCCCTTTCTGGACCAGCTAAACCAGCTTGAATTTTCCTTCTCCTCGGTGGGTTCTAGGCCGGCGGTCACTGCGCTCCAATCGTAGTAGTCGAAGTTGCGACCGGCGCCAACGGCGACCTCGAGCACGTGTCCGCGGGCTAACTCGGAGCCGATCTGCCGCCGTAGCTTGGTGATACCGAAGCGCCACTCGGACTTGTCCAGATGCTGGTCGAACTCCCGGGGCGATTGGATGGTTGGCCGGCCTGTAGGCGTCTCGGGCTCTTGCCCGGGTGTCCAATGTTCGGGCGGCTGCGTCCTCCAGTAATACACTAGCGACGACGCGAAGAAACTCACGCACACCACCCCGGCGCCGGCACCGAAGAGAGGGAACCAGTAGTCGCGCAGTAACTCTGAGACTGGCCTCCTGTTATCTTGAGACCCCTTATCTTGAGACCCATTAGAGGACGAAGACGATGAAGAGGGGAAAGGCGTAGGTTTAGGGGTGGATTCTGGCGCTGGTTTTGGCTTCGGCTTAGTTGGTTGAAAGGGGAGCGGCTTTGGGGCTGCTCGTTGTTGCTTTTGTGGCGGCGGTGATGGTGACGGCGGCTTAGATGTAGCATATCGCCTACAGCCGCCATCAACCCATTTGAAGCTGTTTCCCCTTATTCTACAGTTACGCATTAGACTCCTCGTAGCGAGGTTATGCGGGTATATAGGCCGCATCGTAATCTGCTTAACTACCTAACCCTTGCCGTTGAGCGTACCTTAGTCCCGTCCCCGGCTTGGGGTATTGCCTTAAGGAGGTATATCAAGAAGAAGGAACTAAAGCGGCAGATACGCGATAGGCTACCGATCCATCCTACCAGCCTACGAGAGGCCGATGACCGTAGGACTTGCTTTCCCCCCCCTTAACCAAACGGTCGGTTGCTCCGGGCTAATGTTCCTGAATCTAGGAACGGGGCAGTTGTGATATCGATTGTAATGATATTCGGCCGATATGGAGCCGGTGACGCCAGTACATATCAATGTAGATCTGGTGAAAAGGGGGTCCAGTAGTGATCAAATGATCTCAACTCTCAAGACGGAACTTTTTTTTTGTGGTTTGATGATCTGATATTTTGGGGAAATAGATTTGGTACTTAGATACCTACATAGGTACATGTACACATTTCGGCTCGTTGCTTTTTGTATTGTACACTGTGCCGGGTAGGTGACTTTTTGCCACTGCAGGGTTTCTCCATCTAAATTGCGGGGTGTAAGATACATTGTGCTTACCTCATACTTAACGTTCATGCACCCTTGGAAGGCAGGAAGGGGGCTTCAAGAAAGCTTCGGCCATGCTGACGCAATGCAGCTACGATCAGAGATTACATGTAGCCACAATCGCACAATCGGAGCTTGACGCGGTTTCCATCTTCCATCAATCTTGGACGCGTCCATCTGAATTGAATTTAAAGTGTTATTTCTCAACTTCACATACTCAATGCTCATATTAGGTAATTCCCAATTTCCGATCATAGCACGTCAACTCGAATCCGATCGCGAGTATGGCGTCGCAACAAGACCTTCAGGAGCTCATTCGGCTTATGACTATCGGCATGAGAGTTCCTATGAAAGACGCTCTGGGTCGAATCAAAGAACTCCAAGCTAAAAACCTCCGTAGGTATGTACTAAATAGATACCAAGGTTGAGAACATGGCATTTATGGCATTCGTTAGATAATATGTAAATAACTAGTGCAGTATTCAACAGATAGCTGAGTGCCCCCTTTCGGACGTCACCGCTGCTATAAAGGACAACAGAGCTGCTCGATCCCTCCATAGTGCTTGTAAAGCCCGACTGAAGAATCCGACCGCACCATCGACGGCCAAGCGTGCTGGGTCTACCCTTGAAAACGCATCCAAACGTGCCAGGCAGTCGAATGAAATAGGTTACATTGATGGACCAGAGCCTCTTGCGCCGCACGAACTTGAAGCGTCATTCACCTTGCCTATAGAAACAGACGAGAAGATAATTGCCGATACCGTAATCTTGACGAACCGAGCCCCGCTTGTCCTTGCTTTTGCCGTAGAACTACTGCGATACACCATGCCAGAGCAACCTCCTTCGAGTCGCTTAAGTCTAGCTCAGGCGGTCGTGAGCGCCAACTCGAGGAGTAAAGCAGTCTCGATCGGTATAGAAAAGGGACCCAGCGCCGATGATCAGGGTTGGGGACATGGTCAGCCTAGGGTGAAAGTAATGGGCCGTGAAGTCGCAGTGTTGAAAAGAGGAGGTTACGAGTGGAAAGGGGACGAAAAGGTAGAAGACCATCCTAAGTCTGGAGATCCTATAGTTGGCAATGCAGGCACTCCACCAAGAGCTACAGAAACTGGTGTTAACCAAGATACATCATCAGGATCTCCTGTTGGTCCCGTATTGAACGCTTGGTCAGCTAGTCAACCCATCACTTTGAAAGGATCGACTTTCATAGTTCGCGCCACGCAAATCACGGGGCCTTCCCAGCGTCAATCGAGTATACAATCGCTATTTACGGCGGTGCCATCTTTACAAAATGCGACGCACAATGCTTGGGCGTATCGCGTTCAAGTACCGACAAATTTATTCGGAGCAACCACAATTAGAGAAGATTCGTTCGATGACGGTGAAAGCGGATGCGGTGACTTCTTGCTCAAGAACTTACGAGAAACAAATACGATTAATACGCTTGTGGTGATGACTCGCTGGTATGGGGGCATTATGCTTGGGCCTGATCGGTGGAGGATAATACGAAATTGCCTCAAGGACGCACTGGCAGAACGCCTCCGTGTTACGGGAGAGCAAGCTGCATTGGGTGGCGAGGCTGTGTGGGGGTTGGACCTTGAGGCCGCTAAAAATAAACCTGAAGCCGCTGGCTCGGCATCCAGTCGGTCTTACGAGGCAGGCGTAGTGGGAATGCCCATCCATAGACCAGAAGCCGCGAAGGCATATCTTTTCAAGAGCTTTGCCGCCAGAGTTGATAACCTTGAAGATGGCGGCGAAGGTGCTGATCCAGATGTTTCTGCAGATCACAAAGCAGAGTTGTCCACTTCTCGAATTTCAACTCGAACGAGCCAAACAGCAAAAAATACATCAAAACGGAAGACAGCTAGAGCGTTAGAGCAAGAGAAAGAAGAGAATGTCGCGAGGCTACTCGGCGCCATAAGACTTCTATTTGACAGCTGGGCAGGGCACCTCGGTACCAGCGAGCTTGACAGACGCGCATGGGGTTGGTATGTAGCAGTACGACCCGACGTTGAAAGTGGCCCTTCCGGCTGGGGGGCAAAGGGGCGTTTGAAGCTTGCCGACATTTTAGCTTTACGGCGAAAGGAGGTATAAAATAAGAATGCCCAATAAATGGAAATGATGGGGTCTTCAGCAGTAAGCGAAGTCCAAGGGTTGCCTTCGGAATAATGATCATATAGGAAACCCAGGCGACGACGTTCCTCGGGGGTTCGTCGCCCATGTCAAGAGCTATGCGTCTCAATAGAAAGAACTATTCGCCCAAAGACGGTTGAGGAATGCCCTAATGAGCAGTTCCATAGTCGCTTTAGCTCAGCAATTATGTGGGAGTAAGTATATTTATCTAGTATACGGCCCCTATTCAAGATGGTCGGGTAGTGATTGGTATTTATTAAGTCTTATATCGCTAACAATACCAAAACAGTTAATATATTAGCGTTCTACTTAGGTATCTTACGGACATATACACCTATATATCACGAGGCAGTTCCTAAGTAATTGATCATACGAGGCACCTTGTTTAGCGGGGTGCTAGGAAGAGGTAATGGCCCTCTCGTGCCGATGGTTTACAGTCTGGGTAGCGTAGATATTTACCTCTATATTTCCTTTACCTACCTAGGTACCTAGGCATGCAGTCACTCGCATGAAAGAATAAAATGAGCACCCAAAATAAAGACTAGATTTTATGTTAAAAGATACGCAGTAGGTGATATGGTATTGTCTTATGCTTCATTGTCCCGGCGTAATCCTACTGCTGACTTAGGTAGGTATCTTACTATACCAACTAAAATACTCATAAAATCCGTCTGCTCGTCCAAGCGTCCGCTCCAATTCCCATACGCCAAACGTTCTAACGCTTAAAGCATGATATTCGGTGCCGATACTCCTAACGCATGATATACGAAATCCTGTATAGGTATGCATTCAACACGCTTGCTTTGCTTGACCTCTTCCCGGGAAAAAGAGGTATTGATAGTGAGAAAATATTAAAACCGCCCGTCTGTAATGTCGTTGAAAATATCCCTCGTGATAAGGTTTCCACGCAGGAGCGCCCTCTCCGTGATCTTGCCTCTCTTGGCTCCGCTTTCTGGGTGTTGGAATTGATTCTCTTTTCCGTCGGGAGCGTAAGAGGCACGACCGCCGACGAAGCCCTTTTTCGGTACTTTCTTTGCCGGGGAAGACCGTTGTTGTTTTTGTGGACTCGTAAGGTCTACGATGCCACCCCCAGTCGTTGTAATCTGCGTACCCGTGCCCGACTCGTCGAAGAAGTGGCTTTCGAGCGCGTCAGCAGGCAAGTCGTACACCCAGTCGCGACTTTCCATAAGCCTGATAAAACGGCTCAGCATCTCTTGGTCTCCTGCGCCCTTTAGCGTGCCACGACTGCCTACGACGAGTAATTTAGTCTTTGCGCGCGTGAACGCGACGTTGATGCGCCGCCAATCCTTCAGCAGGTCACCGATATTGGAGCTCTCGTTGCTGCGCACTAGGCTTAGAATTACCACCTCTTTGTCACGTCCTTGGAACCGGTCCGCTGTATGTAATTCGATGCTGCTACCGTGCGCCCGTAGCCCGTGCTTTAGTAGCGAGAGTTGCGACCGGTAGTGTGTCATGACACCGATCTCGGTTGCCGGTACACCGGTTGCTAGCAGGGCGTCGACCAGCTGCACCACAACACGCGCTTCTATGGGATTAACGATACGATTTCCTTTAGCTTCCTCGCGCGACGAGGGTAGGGGGTCTGTGTTGACGAAGCGGACCCTAGCCTCAGGATCCAGAAGGTTGCGCAGCCAGCAACCGTCATTAGTCCATGCGGTACAGATGGACCGCGGTGTACCGGGGCGCATTATGGTGTCCGCATTATAGTGTTTCTGCCGTAAGTTATCTATGTGAGGTATATCGAGTTTCTGATGGCGGAGGTCCTCCGTGCCGCACTTAAGCCGACCTTCGTAGATGAGGGTGTTGCTGAGTGTCATAATATCCTCACACATGCGATACTGGTGTTCGAGATTCACCACCGAGTCTGGATGTGTGTCCGAAAGCAGTTTAAAGAGACTGACATCCAAGCCGCCGACACGAGCCTCCTCGTTCTGTACTAGAGGGGGTAACTGATTATGGTCTCCAACCAGAACGAATGTACGCGCCATGCGGATTGGTCCCAGACATATAGGTAATGTAATCTGGGATGCTTCGTCCACAATACAGTAGTCGAATGTTCGCTCATTGAATACCTGGTGATTGACCCCCAAACAAGTTGTCGCTACGATTGGTGTTTCGTGCCAAGCGCTTCGGATCTCGTCGAAGCTAGTCATTGGTTGTCCGGCGAGGATGGCGAAGTCCTGTACGTCAGGATGAACTTTGGCTGGTGCGCCGAGTCGTAGAACAGGTATCTTGTCGTCCTTCAGCTTGAGTAAGATATTGTCTACGGCGGAGTGCGTATATGAAGTTAGGAGGACACTTTTCCCTTGGCCAACTAGTGCGCGGATGATATGAGCAATCGTAGTAGTCTTGCCGGTACCGGGCATGCCCAAGACAAGTGCGTAGTCATTGGCGCCCATAACCTTCTCGATAGCCTTCTTCTGGTCAATATTCAAGCTCGCTTGGTCAGCAACTGTGTATTGCGTCGTTGATGCCTTGAACGTCGGTGGTGCGAGGTCAACTACGAGACGTCGGATTTCTCTCGATCCAAATACTCCATCTGCCATTACTTGAACTAGGTTGTTCCGGACGGTCGCCATGCCGCTGCTGAACTCATCCTTGTCAAGTCGGTATTTAACAGGTGCTCCTTTCATCTTACCCTGAGATTGAGCAGGCGTTGCTCCTTCAGGCGCTACATCCATAATACTGGCGAAAACTTGGTTATTTGATTCATCGAACCCTGGCCGACGTACACGAGCATTGTGAAGTCGACGGTCCACTGCGACACATATCTTTTCCTTTCGCACCGATATGACGTATCCAATTGCCAAAGCGAAGTGGCCCTGCTCGTCAGACACAACAATTGGCTCTCCTACCACGAGCTGAGAGTCTAGAAAAGAGAACCCGGAAGCAGGGCTCTCCTTGATAAACGTATACCGGAATCGGTTGATTCTTGGGTTGTTGGTATCCTCAACAGCGGAGCCCTCCTCGATAATAACGTTGGCAAAGCATCGTCCAAGCTTCTCCCTCTCCGTGCTTACCATGGTCCACAGCTCTCGGCGTAATTTCTGACTCTCCTTTTCTTCCTTTGTTAATAAATCTTCCCATTTTAAGAAGAATTCTTGGTGTGTCGGAGTTAGGTGTCGAACAATTTCATCAAACTTGGACTTCATCCCACTCGTCTCGTGATCGCCGTTGTCTGCAAGTTTGTGGTATATAAAACAAGATACCTTTGCGTAGCATTTATCACACGTGTTAGTGCTTCGCTTCATGGGCGGAAGTTGGACGCTGCGCTCTCGAATATAACACGCAAGTTGGTTTCGTTGCATAATCATATGGCGAAGCTCGTTACGGATTGTTGGGATTCGAATCGTCTGAGATGTTTCCATATAGTACAGAATACCATAAGCGATCTCAACATCGTAACGATCTGACAACAGAAGGTTGTATAAAGATGTTTGCGCTTGGTGGTTGCTTGTAGCATTATGGCCCGTTTTCACTTCAAAAGGCACCGTCAAGGTACGCCGTTGAGCGCCGTCTTTCATAGTTATCTGGACCGTGGCATCGATGTTACCCTTCAGCCCGTACATTGGAGACCAAACGTGCTCTTCAACATCGAGGAGCTTCGTAACGCACATGTTTGCCTTCTCGCCGTTCCGACCTTGTACAACAGCATCGGGCTAGTAAATCAGCAAAGACGTCCCTTGGCATTGGATAATGGGAAAGCATACCTTTGGAAAACGAGTTACGAACGCCGAGGCCCAACTCCTCAACTCGGGCATTTTTGACCTGAGATGTTCGCGGGCATCGCTAATGGAAACCTTAATCGTATATAAGTCTTCCACGTGCTTTTCTGTAATGTCACAAATAACACTATCTAGGAATTGCGGAGTCCATTTGTTAGACATGAGTGCCTCCTGGAAGATCTCGTGTAGTAAAGTTCCGTATACCAGAGGCGGAGTCTTGTCACTAGAGGCTTTGACGCGATCCTGGAGGACAGCTCGGCGCATGCAGGTAAAGCTGTCTGCTACAACCGTGGCTGATATTAATTGATCCGGGTGGAGGATAAGGATGTTCTGGGAGTTATCTATGATGCATTGCCCAGTAGGTTCAAACTGGCCTATTATGTGGACGTGGGACTTCGGGCTCGCAGGAGTATCTACCCAATCACCTCGAAGATGAACAGTTTTCATAATATTACTTCGATCGACTTGGACAAATAGAATCTGAAAGTGTTAGTTATTATATGACCAGGGCGCTACTTGCATAGATACTTACCTTTTCTATTGACTCACGTCCGTAGTCATCGACATATTGGCTTTCAAGAACCTTTGTTACCAGGTATCTCTGAATTGTCTTGGGCTTATTGGCTACCTACAGATATTCTTAGCAACCAAATTCAATTCACCCCTATTATCGCCCACGTACAGGTAACGATCCATCCATCTGCTTAGAGGCTGATTGCGTAGCGGCCATCTCAGCAGCGTCGAAATCAAAATCGCCCCCAAAATCATCGCCGTAAATGTCCTCAGCAAGGTCATCAGATGTAGTGGTTGGGTTTTTCTGTGCGGCAATACCGGGCTGGAGTAGCGTGTGGGTCTCGTCAATTTGTGTTATCAAGTCTTCAGCGGCAGCAATTATGTCGTCGTCCATATCATTAAACTCGTCGTCGAATGGCTCAGGCTCTCGGCTGGGCTGCTGATCCCGGGCTTGTCCAGTATCTGCTAGTGGTACCGCCGATTCTTTTACGGGCTCCCCGCACGACTGTCCTATACTGGCACTGAGTTCCATAAGTGTATCATCATCAAAATCGTCGTCCCCGTAATCCGATGAATTGCCTACCAACGTTCCTTCCAGCTCCAAATTTTCCGCCGTTGGTATACTTTTCGGAGCAAATACCGGAGGGGAAGGCCTCGAAGAAATCTTTCGTCTGGTGGGCGAACTGGGAAGCTGTGCTACCGGCTGAGAAGACTTTTTCTTGCGCGAAGGGGACTCTAGCGCGTCTTGACGAGCCTGAATCGCTTTTGATCTGTTGAGTTCCCCCGTCACACTCTGCAGCAAGGCGTTAACCATGGATGACTTCGAGCTACGACTCGGGCTCTCTTCGACATTGATTTCTACTGGCTTTGCGGCTTCTGCCCGTTCAACCCTTCGACGTTTGGGCCAACTCTCCCCACAGCTGATAGCCCTTCGTAGTCCACCCTCGCCTGCTATCCTCGATGGTCGAGGTGACGATGAGACCATGATTTGGGCTAAGGTGGAATTCATAACCCCAGGCGGTGCGACGGTTTTAGATCCATTAGAAGAGAATCGATCCCACAATTCCAGTGCAGGGTCGGCGTGAGGGGACTTAAGCGCTCGCGACAATTTTTCGACATTTACAGCTGGGATACGAGATTTCGAGTGGGACGCGGGTGACGATACGGGCGACGAACTCCGTGCTCGCTTCTTCCCTCTCTTGCCTGGCATTACCGGGGAGAGCTTTAGCCGGTGCTGTATATCTTCCTTTGTATCCCAACCAATCTTCTCACTAGGAGAACCCTCCTCTTCCTCCTCGGCCTCGACTGTTCCAACGAGATCTTGCCATGCTAGCCGATTCACGGGTGTAGTCGCACATTGTGCGGGGAGGCTAGCCGTCTCCTCAACTTGAACTACTGAGTCGGTGCCAGCATTTGGAGCTGTTTTGACGCAGACGGTAGATACGTCGGCCTCCTGGTCATTGGTTTTGGTAAGATTCGAACGTTTGAAGGCATTGAGCTTATTCTTGGTAACTTCGGAGATGGGCTGAAGTGGCTTAGAGACTGGATTTCGCGTGGTTCGAGTAGCGGTTGAATGGCTTACGGTTGAATGGCTTCTGGTTTTGCTCCATTGCTGGCGGGTCTATAAAATCCAGTCAGGCTTTTATTAAATAGATGATATTGACGATTCAATGCAATAGCTATTATAAAAATGTCGACATACTTTAGAAGAGCCATTCTGTTCCGAGAAGGATTTCTGGAGGGGCATGGTGGTAATATTTTGGTGGATTTTATTTGATCATAATTCGTCTTTAACAGATCTTGATCCAATGTCCAATGGTCAATGGTAATAAATAGGGAGGGAGACTGGAGGAATGACAAAAAATTGGATGTTGGCAGTAGAGAATAAGGTCCTAGCTTCGAGGGTTAAAGTCCTTTGTATAGCTAGTTGGAGGGGTGCGAGAAGTTGAATAGCAAAGCAATGAATTGTATTGAATTGTATTGAATTGAATTGGATGGATAAGACGCGTCGCCAAAGCGCGTCGCGATGGAACTTTGAACTTTGAAACCCTGCACATCCAAAATAATGGAACAGCCACGGATCTTATTGCCCCACTACCGTACCTTAATATCTGTGGCTAAGGTAGATTAGTGGGCCAATGACGTTAATTTCATACATCCACTAAGGCAAGTAATATGTGGCCTAAGCTCCTAAGCTTAGGTACGTATGTACATGCTTCAAGCTTCCAATTCATTCCCTGCTTTCCCCACCAAATACTAAATACTTCAGTTTGCAGTCTTATGATTCTCATTCTCAATTTCAAGAACTCAAGACACTGAGTTCAGATGACAGACTCTGAACTCGGGTAGACCGACAACCAACAGATAGTTCGAAAGACTTACAAATGCAACAACACAATGTCGTCTAATAACGGCACTGACCCTCCTTTCGATGATGGCTCATCAACTGACCTCACTACCAACCCTCCTTGGCCATTCCTAAGTCGGTTCCAACAGACGCAAATCGAAAGGAGGTACTTCGAGGATGGCGCAACTATACATTTTGAAAGATTACCGCGCTTACCGTTCTGGGCACCCCTTTTTCTTATGAAGGATTCTTTTCGTGTCGTCTACGTTACCGGCAAGACTGTCCAAGCGGCTAAGATGTCCCAGCGTCGCTTGACTGCTGACGAGGTTAACGCTACTAGTGAGGCCGCCGCCAACTCAGCCCGTTACCTTCCTTGGATTCATCCTGTTTCCTTGATAGCAGCTTCTACTATATGTTGGAGGACAAGAAAAACCTTCAGGTTTCCTCTCTACCAGCCAAAGAAAAGACAATTTAATCCTCGTATCTTTCCCACCAAACGTCTTCCCGTTTTTACGGGCGATAGGGCTGTCGTCGCCTGGCATGTGACTCGGTTCTTCTGCTGGTTCCCTGTAACCCTAATCGGATCCCTCATTTTCTTTACCTCTCTAGCAGAATCATCATATGAAGCGCGCTTATCCCGGGACCCGCGCCTAAAGAACTGGCTTGCAGATGTTAAAAAAAATCATATTAACAGGCTTGCTCATATGCAGCGGGAGAATCAGGGACCACAGCGAAACTTTCCAGCACTTCCGGATCCCGTTTCACAGTCTCCACGTGATAAGTATCCTTCAGACTCGGGAAATGAAGTACCCCGAGAATATGGACATGACACCTTTACTGGTCAGTCAGAAAGTAGCCCCAACGGATTAGCCTCGGAAGCCAGCAGGAGTCCATCAACATCCTCCTCTCAATCATATTGGGGCAGAGGAACCCAGTCGCAAGCGCAGCCGAGTAAGTCTCAGGGCATGGTATACTCGGATTCAAGTTCGCAACATTCAGAAGACGACTTGGATCTGTTTGATGACGACGATGCTTCGCCAGTCCCAGCCGCATTAAGGAAGGCAGAAGCGCAGCAAACTCGTGACGCCCAGGGTGGCTCTGCTTGGGACCGTCTTAGACAGCAGGCACAATCCGGAGCTGCCCAATGGGCTCGGGGAGATTCATCCGGCCAGGAAAGAGGCTGGGGCCGACTGCGGCAGGATAAGACGCAAAATCCCCAGGATAATCAGCCAAGGACAGAGGGCTTCGCATACACGAAAGAAGACGAGTACAAAGAAGAAAAGACCTATGAGAAAGAGCAAGCTCAGAAAGAATTCGATGCATTACTAGAAGCCGAGAGACGTGGCGGGTCGAACAGAGGGTAGGACGGGGAACATGGGTCAACGGCGGATTTGACCTTGGTAAACAATTATGGACGGAGTTGGGATAGCTTAGAAGATAAGGTAGGAACTAAAAGCTTGTATAATACTAGGCAGGCAAATATGTCAGAAAATAAGTGAGCAATTCTGCTGTTATCGATGTTATGGTTGTTATGGTCTTTGACGATAGGCGCCTACTTTAAGCTACTAATTTCATATTGGGAAATTCCGCAACGACCTATACAATATCAATCAACTATATTCCTTGTGTCCCCCGTGCATATTCTTGGAGAGAATAAAGGTTACTCGGGGATTTCGAGTCCTTTAGTGCCCAAGGTTAAGTAGGTACCTACATATTAGGTACCTAGGTACATATCCGTATCTTCGCTCCCCCCTTTTCTTTTCTCCACTTTTATTCATCTTGAGTCATTTCTATATCCTTTCCCCCAAAGAGAGCAATAGAGATTAATACCTAGATTACATCCACTATAGTGCTACGTTTCGGTGTGTATTTTCTATATTTCCAAGCATCCATTGATGTATTCGAATCCATTTACCAAGTATCGATGTATGAATTGGAGTTTAAAAGAATTACCTACCTGTTACCTGAGGTACCCAGGTAAGTTCATATGTAGCTCTATACCAAACTACATTTTTTCCCCATTGTTAATCCACTTTGTCAGCCATTTAATGTTGAATAAGTACGTTACACTTTTGTAATTCTTATATTTGCCCTTGTTACTCTTAAACAAATCCTTTCGGCTGGCTTTTAGTCAAAGAAATAACTATGCTATTGACTCAAACCCCTGGGACTATTTCTTTGTACTCCTTATATAAGAATAATTTCCATATCAATAACATGGGCTCCTATAAGAACCTACCTAATCTTATCCCTTAAGTCTGAATTAGGTAGTTTAATGAACAGCCGACAACAGCAACACAGCGAGCAAACTAACTGCGAATCGCCTGCTTATTCGGGCGAATTCTGTAAGTAACCCTAAGGTTGATTCCGTACGGTAAACTCGAAAATTTAGGTACACACCGAGGAGGCGTTCCATTCAAGTTTGATCCGTTAACTTGTTACGCCAATATATTTACGACTCTTAAGTAATATTAAATCGATCAGAATCGCCAACACTTCCATTGTTCTTCGTAAGGTCCGATCCACGACAAAAGCTAATTATTTTAGACACCAGTCAAGCTTTCTAATTCATCCTACTATATCATTCTTGGTAACATTCATCCATCTTCTAAGATGTGCCAGCAGTATTTACTGAAGTTCAAGGCTTGCGGGCATTTTGAGAGAGATGAGGAACGTATCTATTGCGACCTATACGACTGTTCCTTTCCCGACAGCTGTCTACAACGTTTCGAGGCCGATATCATCCGAGAATTTACCCCTGGGGACAGTCAATGTTATAGGTGCCTCTATCGCGAATACTTGGATGCGCAATGGGATCGTATCGTAAGCACAAATATGGACGACACACGACTCGCTTTTATTATGGCGAGAGAATGCCTTTTCTCTTTCAACTTCGTCACAATGGAACATCTACAACAAGTCCAGCACCTATTAACTCATACATACATTTCCCAAGGTATCGTAATAGATGTACGACTAGTACTGACTATGATGGGCTACAAAAATGCGGAGCTCGAGACCAAGGTTAATGTTGATGACCAAGATACTTGTACAGGTGAACTTTCACCTATTCCAACGCTAGAAGACTACATGCTCCAATTCGCACCTACCCCAATAGCGGACCCTGAGCTCCTAGCTGCAAATGTCCCTGAAAATGCCGTACCTACACCCGCACAGGACCCAGAGGCAAATCAGTATAGTTATGAAACGCCTTTGAATTACCCGCCGACTCCCATGCCGACTCCTTGGTCTATGGGAATGCCGGAAATGTAATCGCATAGGTGAGATCGGATTACCTCGAGAATAAGTATACGGGTAAGGAGGCCTGCCTGAGAATAATGGATAATATGCATTGATGCTCATGACATGAACTCTTATACAATACGTAGGTATGCTTCCCTGTACGAGTTTATTGGGTATTTAAGGCAATTACAACAGTAGCAGGCTGCTGTTGCACATCAGGTTTAGCAGAGCAGTGAAAGGGGGAAGATTGATATAGCAGCATCTAAGTAGATAGTCATTACGAAATATACATCCTTAATTATCAAATTTCATAATCTCTATAATAGGTACTTATAATTAGGAGAAATTTACAATAGCTTTATCGTAAACGATTGAAAAAATACGCAATAAAGTAGTTGATATCCCTTGGGTTTCCGTGTTAAATCATCAACCATCATCAGTTTCTACACCCAAGGAGGTTCGCTTCAAAGGGATAATGAAAAAACATGGTAATTGCCTAGCAAATCCTTTAAGATATCTACCGAAGTCTTTAGCTTGCAAATCTAAAATCCAGTCTCTTGCTTCCTTCATCTTTTGTATTTTCGCGGTACTCATTTTGCTCCTATAAACCATTAGAATCACAACAAGCCAGGGTTACTTGGAACGTGACTTACATCCGGGCTCATTGCGTTCCATATCCTATCTCTACGCTTATTCTGAAATATATAGTATAGCTTTACGGCTATATATATGAAAATATTCAAACAGTTAATTCCAATAAGTACTCTATTTCCACGACGGTCTAGAAAGTGTAAGTTATTGGCAAATCGTGGATCAATAAACACAACGGAATAGACTCACAGAGTGGCTTGTCGTCGTCACGATAAATGTTTGCACTTATAATGGACTGAAGCTGAACACAAATGCTTTGGAAGATTAGCCTCTTGATTTGTTTGTAATAGGTTAAGACTGACTTATATACTGCAGCAGAAACTGTTCTAGTGCGGACAGTGTTGGAGTTCCGACTACTCCAACCGACTTGCATGGCATGTGCTTTGAAGAATTTAGCAAAGAGGCCTTAGAATCTATAGCTGGATGGTCTTACGCGATGGATGTGCTAGTAGAACGGTTACAAGTGCATACGAGCCCCAACGCGAGGTGTGTTGTGGTAGTAAAGCTAACGCCACTACGCATGGGAGAGTCCAAACTTCCACAAGAAGACCTAGTAGAGCACGTTGATTGATAACCTCGGACAGGTAAGTCAATACCAACATCTAGAACATGTCAGCACGAAAATATAGCATAGGGATGGGCAGTTTTATGGCCCTTACGTTGGCGGTTGATATTACCGTCGCCGGGATAGTTAAGAGGTTTGTATTGAAAGTATCGAATCCTAGGGCTCGAAGAGTCAACGTCAAGTATTGTCCAGGAGGGCCGGATGGGATGCTGAAAGTCAACCCGATGATGTATATCGGCCAAAGGTGATAGTCTGCCAAGGATTTCCATAACATTTTAAAGGTGATGCCCTGCCGGTTGTGCATGTCTCCTTTTGACGGATCATCTCGCAAAATGCGGTTTACGAGAATCTTCTCCTCTCGTTCGGTAAACCAACCATTCGGACGGTACCAAGCCTTAGTTTGTGTTGGAGATGGCGCCATCATGAACCAAGACCATATACCAATCGCAAGAGTCAAGATACCCTCGATTAGGAATCTAGCGAATGTGTTAATGCTATCTTTATGCTATCAATGATAGATTTTCTTACAACCAGCGCCAGCCTTCATAGCCATGATAGCCTCTGAGACGTAGAAGACCGTACGCAAGTAAGGGTGCGATCACATCCGTTAATTGATTCGCCATCCAGAATAAGGCTAAACGAAAAGGAAGTTCGGTTCCCTTGAAGAAATAAGACTAAAGATAATGTAAGTGTTTAGGTCTGCTTGGAATTATCACCGGTAACGCACCAAATAGAGAATTAGGTCTGGAATAAAACCGCCTTGTAAGAGACCTAAGAGGGCACGGCAAGCTAGGAACGACGAACGGCCCCGAAGCCAAAATTGGCAACCAGCCACGACGCTCCATAAGACCATCTGGATTGGAATCTGGGAAATGTGAATAGAGCATCCTAAAGAAATATAATATATAGAAGGATATTTCATACCCAACGATCAGGTCCTATGGAATATTAGTTATCAAGCCTAACATTTATGGATAGCAAACGTAGTAAATAACGTACCAATTTTCTTACTAACTAGTTGCGAAGGTAATTCGGCAAGCAAGAAAGACACCAATCGTACTGTGCTCCCATAGTTGTAATCTGAAGAAGCGAATGGTTAGATATGAAGCAAAATCCCGATTTACGTATCTGGATCTTACCATTTGTCGTGAAGCCCATGTCATCCAAGAAATTGTCAGTGTTAGCCTGGCCAAGATTACTCCTATCCAGGTCCAGAGCGAAGAAAGCAATACAAGCCCACGCGGTCACCTTCCAGTCGATCTTCTTGACGAGTTTCTAAACATATAACCATAAGTAGGAGTCAACTTCTGTTGGAACGGGATGGTTATACCTCCTCTTCCCCCCATGTCCACTTAAAAGACGGGTCGAATCGATGAAGGTTCTCGTATTTAGGGCTCGGCTTGAATTGCTCGGCTTTCACCGGATCGTCAAATATAGACGGCTGCGTAGCGATATCTTCAGATCTATGTTTCTTAACTTTTCTTCTGAAGAGGCTAAGTAGCGGGTGCCGAGAGGGGGGGTGTTCTGCTGCTGTGGCTTCGACGATCCCCTTCGATGGCGATTTTTCTTGGTCTGATTCATTGAGTCCATCCCTGGAAGAGCTGGCTTTGTTTGAAGCAGCATAAATAGTGACTCCATCGTTTTTGGTTGCCATATTGTCGCCCAAGGCCAATTAAGCTAAAGGTATAGGTTCTCATGAACTATCTCCCCTGAGCCAAAGATATGTAGATCTAGTACCTAGCCATCTTATCAATCGCCGATTTCGTCGCCAACATCGAGAATCGTCATTTTGGTTGTACTTGCACGATTGCCCTAGCTTATACCACTGTAACCCACTACTCGCTTTCTGTATAGCCCCCCGTCGTGGGTTATAGCAGCTATCGATGGTAACATCCCCACGCTACGTGACGAAATAAAATAATAATAGACGACTGATTGAGCAACCGCGTTCGAAGTATTTCAAAGCAATTGGATGTAGGGTAGTATATTTGTCTTGGCTGTATTGACGTGCTCACTTAGTTGGAGATGCATCCATCGTTGGAATCGCATCATATGGGGAATCGATGAGGAATATGCGGGGGTCAAACATAGTATCAGATAACGCGGTCGAAGCCAACATCGAAGTAAGATATATAGTCGACGCGTCAACCTTTTGACGAGAGGATTGTGCAAGTCAATTCATCCAACCGCATTCATAATGGCGCCCTCAGTCGCAGACGTATTGCCAAGCGCATCCGAACTAAAGGAGAAGGCAGAGCAGAAGCTCAACAAGGCTTATGACGCAAAGCAACACGCCTCAGTAAGGGATTACATTGAAATGTGACCATGAATATAAGCTAAGCCATTTAAAAGTACAAGTACACTAACTACTTGCCTGTGTACGATGAATCGACGACATTCCCGCCAACGGAGCCCTTCGAGTTCGTCGACCGGGGCCTCCTAGCGGACAAAGCCAAGCCTCATCTACTCGGGCTCAAGGACCCAAACGTTGTCGTCACCAAGCTTACTCCTCGCGTCGGCACAGAGATCACTGGTCTGCAGTTGTCCGAGTTGACGGACGAGCAAAAGAATGAGCTAGCTTTGCTAATTGCCGAAAGGGGTGTGGTTGTGTTTCGCGGCCAGAACTCGATTACATGTTCACGTAAGTACCTAAATCAGTGCTTCTGCACTCCTGCGTGCTATTCATTAACGTCAAATAGCCCGTCGGAGCTCATGTCGACGGGGCCATTGAATTTCACAATATCTATCTTGGACCAGACAACCTGTACAGAACCCAACGCCGCTTGGAGCGCTTGACTACTACCGGGTACCACTCGGACGTCTCATATGGTAATTGTTTAAACCATCTAATAATATTACTAGATCTCTATAGTATATCTTAAGACTGACCTTATTATCTACAATTACAGAGCACCAGCCCCCTGGAATCACACTTCTTACGCTGCTGGCGGTGCCCTCTACCGGGGGTGACACTGCATGGACTTCTCAGGTCGCGGCATACGAGAGACTTTCGGAACCGATCAAGGCATTGCTAGAGGGCCTACGGGCTGAACACAGCGGGTATCCCCAAGCCGAGGGTGCTCGTCGCGACGGCAAATTCGTTCGTCGCGAACCTGTTAAGTCGGACCACCCGATCGTAAGGGTACACCCGGTAAGCATACAATTTACAGCTTTACATTTTAGATAAAGGTAATCTAACCTTCATTTTCCAGGTCACCGGTCAGAAAGCACTATTTGTAAACCCGGGGTTTACGAAGAAGATCATAGGGTTGAAAACCGAGGAGTCCGACGCGATTCTCCAGTTGCTCTTCAAGGTCCGTTCCTCCGAGTATAGATTTACTTGGCATAGAGTATTGTCTAACAATGTAATTCAATAGCACATCTCCCAAAGCGCGGATATCCAAGTCCGCGTGAAGTGGGACGATCAGACAGTGTCGCTCTGGGACAATAGGGTTACAGCTCACACTGCTATCTCCGACTACGATGTACATAACGAGGAAGAAGGCTTGCGTCACGGGTTCCGTATTACTACCCTTGCCGAACGTCCGGTAGGGGTCAACGGGTTAGAGACAGTTTGGTAAATTCGTAGGACTGATGCTTTAGCAGAGACTATTCTTTAGGTACCTAGTTAACATGATTTGAAATTAAACACATGAACCTTCAATGTTCAATTCTTTCCCTTTCCTTCGCTTTGACATGCTCCCCCTGTTACGTCGTTTCGAATATATATCTTCAACGACTCTAGGCCCGCCAACGTACGTTTATCAGGGTTCATGATTTTGAAGTCGTGTTCGGTGTAATCCTCCCACATTTCTCTGGTCCGCGGGGTCTCCGCGTTAGAAGGGTATGGCTGTCTACGTTGAAAGACTTCAAAAGCGACCGTGTCAGCATGTGTTCGTGCACCGTGAGTGGTGTTATTCAGGACGTGAGTGCGGCCATTCCCAATGATCATAGCTGGTCTCGCGATGTCGGCAATAATTTCGCTCATGGGGAAGGTTGGGTAGCAGAAGAAGACGACCGAATCGTCAGAAATCTCGCTGAAGCCTCCAGCACCATGCTCACCGACGACAGATATCCCTAAACTTTTCAGGAGAGCTTTACTTGTATGACTATAATCCGGGTCCTGGGCAAAAATCTCTACGTCAGCGGCTGTTGTCGAACGGAATGCGGCCCCTATCGTCAATGCGACCGCGTGCTGCTTCATGTTAAATTCCTTATTGGCCGTATCGGAACCATGAGGTGTATAACGGCTGTCATAGCGGGACATAGGAGCCATATCCCCCAAGGCAAAGCACACAACTTTGTTAACTTTCCTAAAGCCTTTCTGGAAAGCAAGCCTATTTTTGAACCAGGTGCACGTCGAAGACTGTTCCCACACCTGCTGTATCTCTTTAAACTGGTCGTCTAAAGGGTGCTGTTCGTCGGCAGTGAAGTTGTTAAATGCCTGGTTTTTCCATGCAATCATGTAGGAATAATAAGGAAAGGAGTGCGGAAGAATTCGTCGGAAGAAGACGTCTGAGGACTGCATCGTGACCATGTACCAGTAGTTTTGGAATTCGACAAACGGTTTCCTAATCCACCAAGAGTACATCTTTGTTAGCCTGAAGGAACGAGTGCATATGTAGATGGCACCAGGAACTACCATACAGGATCCGATATCCCAAACATCGGATTTCTAATAGAAACCACCGACCCATCAACACGACGAATATTAAACGATGGCTGAGTTCGCCAGTGCATAAGCTCGTGCTCGATCCGTTCGAAATCACTCCTTATCCAGATTTGCTTGCCAGAATCATACAAATCTGCTATCTTCTGCGTATTCTCGATGACTTGAATAGGGGGGAACTGTGGCAGCTCCGGGGTATCGTCCGACTGGTTTGCAGGGTCCATTTCGGGTGCAAAGAACAATTAATCTCTTATTGCTTTGATCCTTCAGTAATGTTCTGCGACTGATCTTGATTCCGTATAATATCTATCCAATAGGCCTTTCCCACCGATTATAATATTAGTATTTATAGCCGGATTGAGGTGACTCACGGCTTCAATGAGTTTGATGCCAAGCAGGTATACAGATAAATTTCACCAAAGATGCAGCTTGCCAAGATTTCACCCCCTATTTAGTTTCTTCGGCCCGTTTGAAATCATAATCGTAGGTATTTAAATTATAAAGGCTGCGTTTGTGCACACATATCCATTTCTTGCGATACAACCGTCACCTTAACTCTGGCACTATATTCTTCTTATCTTCAAGCCTCTCTCATAAAACTCTCGCGGCTTGCTGTAGTTTGATTCTACCATGTCGCTGGCCCAAATTTCTCGCCCTCTGGTACTGTCTTAAGCCACCCCGTGTACGATGCGTCCTATTTGTCTTGATTAGCAACCGTATGAGCCAAACCCAACATTGCACAATCATGTTAGCTTGTTGTGGACTTACAATTGTATTGAATACATCCACATTGCCCCACCACTGAGGAATGGTAACTCCCGGAAGAGTTATCGCGAAAAAGATGACGATGGTCGACAAGATAAGCCCCGCGTCGAGAGCGGCAGCTGTGACATAGTTGTACGTTCTCCACCAGCCGCCAAATTTCTTCCGTATGGCATAATTAAAGATCAAGCCGAAGATTGCCCATGATGAAAAGCTGATCGGCGTGGCTGGCGGCAACCATGCCATAGCTCCAAACATGATCGGCGCGTGGAGGTGGCGTGCGAAGCCAATCTTCAACTTACGGCTAAGAAACCACAGTATAACCGGGAATCCAGCCCCGATAAGCCAGAACCAGTTGAAGTTCACGTACATAGATCCAGGGCCAAACATGCGTTCCGGGCCTAGGACTCCCCACACAATTGACGACGAGAAGAAAGCTCGCCCATTAGGACAGCTGAAATGACTGGGTTGAGTACTACGAACACGTTAGCTTCCTGGCTTGCTAGACATACATGACTTCATGTGGTATAACTCACATAGAGCAAACATCAGGGATAGCTCCTAACGTCCAATTCATCACCGCGATCTGGACGAATACGGCCCATATACTCGCTATGACCTGGCACCAAAAGGTGACCCTAGGCGGAATTTTCATGTAATGAGCTGTCTTGAGGTCGGTGCTCTACTCTGTATTAGTAATTTAAGCCAACTCTTAAACGGACTTCACATAGGTTGTTATATATCGAAAGGCCAATGGCCCTCGTAAGCGAAAGAAATTGGTGGAAGGTAAGTGAGGAAATCCTTTTACGTACATATGTCTGAGCCTGCCCTAACGTGATTGTACTGAAGACTTTAAAGACCATCACTGCAATAGGACGACCTGGGAATATGAAGCCAGCTATAAATGGCGAAATTACGTTTAGAGACAACTGGATAGTTGAAACGGCCATTACCATGCATGTAGGGATCACGAACACAAGTGCTAGGATGACGGAAACGAAGAACCCCCACCAAGGGAGTTGAGAATCGTACGCCAGCACGGTTGCAAGTCCGAATGCGATGGAGACTATTAGAAGTGCGTAATACCACCATTCGGGTGCCTCGCGGTACTTTTTCATCATTTTGAGATGAATGTCGGGTTCCTGATTGCGCGCAGTCTTGAAACGATACCAGATCTCCTTTCCGTGGAAGAGCGCAGTGTGTACAAGCGCCGCCGTCAATGCGGCGAAGGAAAGCCCATAGTTCAGGGCCAATGATGGGGATAGGAATAGCGGCGAATAATTGTGGTACTTGTCAGGGTCAAGAGTGAAACTATCTCCGAGAATCTTCGAGACGTTGTATGCGCTCTGCGTATTGTCGTAAGTCTGCGATGTCACGAGAGGAAGATAATCGGAGTAACTACAGGCCCATTAGAAATAGTCTTTACCTGCGAATCCTCTAATCCACGCCGAAAAAATCGAAGGCAACGTAGACTTACAGGGAACCAGTATACGCCATACCGATACACGGAATAAGGACGAAGAAGAAAAGACCAATTAGAGTATTAACATGAGCATACGTCGGGGCTAGCAACGGGTCTGACAAGTAGGCCGAGACGTAGGTCCAGTCGAAGGTCAGTGGAATCAAGCTGAGCCCCGTGAATCCACCAAAAAGCTGGTTGAGCACAGGATTCTCCGGCTTAATCCAGGTCACGAAAGCGAAGACGGAGAGACCTTGCCAGAGTACACCAGGTATCCAGTAGTAGCAGAACATGCCGCCCATCACGATGAAGAAGTACCGATAGCGACTTATCACCCACCCGTTCGATTTAGTACCGTCACTCTTACTCTTGTCGTGGAGGGCGTAGAAAAGAGAGGTATAACTGAACTGGGAAGGCCACATCATCGCGGCGGGATAGATTAGGAACCGTCTAAACATCCCGGATAGCGATATTCCTATGAGTTGCGAGCTCAGCGTAAACATCAAAGAAAAGCCCCAGCCTAGATTGAAGTTGTAGAAAGGCTTTCCTTGAAGCGCAAGCAACGCGTCAGTGGAATATGCGTATGAGATGCTGACGTTGGACATAATAGTGACGACCACGTGCTCCTTGATGGTGAAGGGGCCGGTATTCAAAGTCCACTCCTGACCGAAGGTTTTGAATACTCTTGTTGGCATGATCTTTGCCCATAGAGACCCGACGGGATAGACTAACAGTACGACGACCAAGGCCGGGAAGTTAACCGCTGGACTCCGCATGCTCAACAGCATGTTTAAGCCACTGCCAAGGGTGACAAAGATCATTCCCAGTATCCAGGCTCTCACAGTACATGCGACTTCTCCGCCATCGGTATTACGCACAGCGGCACGTACCTCCTCGTAGGGTGAATCTTCGCTGAACAGCGAGTCGGCTTCAATGATTTCCTTAACATCTCCACGCTTAATTGCTGAATCGACGGTATCGAGCTTCTCTTGAGGAAGATTGGGGTCCCATTGGTGGGCGTGCTGAATCTGGTTAAGGTCCCTAATGGTAGTGGTTACATCTATATCACGAAGCTTCTCGTTAGAGGAATTAGGCGTTGCGCTCTCAGCTGGGTTTGGGCTGATCTCGGATGTGGCTTTATCGGAAGCATCTAATTTCCCGAAGGGAAACCCCATGATGGCTAGTGAGTGATTCCTAGGTGCTATAGAGCAAATTCATGATGGCCAGAAATAAGAATTTCGACTTGGCCATGGGTATAGACAAGTCTTATCTCTTCTACCCTCAATGGGTCGAAATGTCTTTCAGTCGCCTCATGTCCGAGATTCACCTATCAAAACAGGGTCTAACGGATAGATTGATTAGAGACTGCCAGCCAGCCGGTATATCACACCCCTGGCACTCCCCGCATGGTTTGGTAACACTCCCTTTCTTTGTTTTTCGACCTTCCAAAAACAATCAGCTTAGACGAAGTGTGACCAAAACCGGGAAGCATTACGCCGCCGGGTGTGGGTTTGGCGTATACTAGGCCAGGTCGGCTCATGGAATTGAGCAAGTATTGGTGGCTTCACCCGTACATTATTCGGTAATCTTGAACCGACATCCGCCAACGAGAGGGATAGATGAGCCAGGGGGGACAATTGGGGGAATCTGGAATGGAATGACTGCTTATCATATCCACTTCTCCAAAGGGCGGGGGATCTTGTTTGTTGCCACCATAGATAGTAAGATAACATATCAGATATTGGGTTGTGTAAACGTACGATCTTATCATTTACGTCCGTAATCCGTATTGGATTCCTTTGTTCTTTGCGCGATGCATACGTTGATACTGTGAGGCTGAGGCGGCCGTTATTAATTGGACTATGGTTAGCTGAACGTATGGCTGTGCCAACCGCATGTAACATCACTAGCATCAGTCCAACTTGTCAATCCATACCTTTGTTTGATCATCAATTCATCTTAACCGGCCTAACACGTGAGAATTAGCAAGATGACGCAAACTCACCCCCGAAACCAAACCATATTTGCGCCGTCGAGGGTAGATCACAACGGCATCATGTCTATCTTTTTGGCCGGTACTACTACTAGGACAGACGACACCCGGGACTGGCGCGAGGTGTTAACCGAATCTCTCGCGGATTTGCCCCTCACCGTCATCAACCCGTATCGATCAGATTGGGACTCAAGCTGGCGAGAGGATATTACATGTAAACCTTTTCGAGAGCAGGTGGAATGGGAACTCGACATGCAAGAAAAGTCCCATATAGTCGTCATATTCTTCCACCCGGAAACTGGAGCACCCATCAGCCTGCTCGAGCTTGGGCTTTGCGCGAGAGCTAAGAAAGCTATCGTCGTGTGTCCTGATGGGTATCATAAGAAGGGAAACGTCCAGATTGTATGTCAAAGATATGGTCTTGAAATTGCAGAGAACTTTGATACATTAAAGGAGACTATCGTGAAGAGACTGCCAATAGGTTCTTTGTGAGCTTGGTGAATGTGGTATAGTTTTGCCCGAGTGCCCGAGTTTATGAGGGATGACCGGATTTAAGAATAATGAATAATATTTGTTTCAAAATATATCAAACCCCCTTTTTACCATCATTCACTTACATGTCTTTCAACCTTCCCATACCAGAGGAAAATAAGTAAACAGCAAGCTTGACGTCAAAGAGGTGTTAAAAAGTTGTATTGATGATAATTTTAATTATTTAACTCTAGTTAACGCAGATTCCGGGCCCACTTATTACGTATTCCCGGTCCGTCATCTGGGGAAGCGGGCCGGCACTTTCTCCGCTTAAATCTTCTGGGCAGCTGGGCTTGGGGAAGGTGGCAGGGGAATGTGGCAGGGTGGATTATGCGCCCGCCTGTTCTCAAAGCACGTCAGGTGGCGGGGCTCGACTTTTTATCCTTCGCTATCCCAACGTGTCGTTAAAAGACTATTAAACATTAGTCCAGTAGTTCAACATAAACCAATTGCTTTGCTTTATTCTTCGTTGGCTGCATTTTATTGCTTACTTTGAGCTCCTTTTATTTATAAATTTATTATCCAATAGCTAGCTTTTACCTACCATGGATGACCAGTTTAACGGACGTACGGATGACGATCTGTTTGCAGACGAATTCGAACCTGTGGACACCCAAGAAGAGCCAGAGACGAAAAATGAACCAAGCGCTCCCCCGGTAGTCGAGGATCAATTACCGTCTGCGAATTCCGAGCAGCCTAACACAGTAGCAGTTCAACCTACTCCAACCCCTTTTACGCCTCGATCTCTCAATCAATCGCGACATGCTAAGCAGCCTCCATCGTCCTCACATCATCAATCGCGACCGCGCAAGCACTCGCCAAAGCCCGCAGCGGTAGATTCGCAGCAGCAGCAGCATCAGCAGGAACAACAACAACCGCAGCAACAGGAGTCTCCAGCTAAAAGTACCAGTAGTGGTGGAGGCGGGGGTAGCGACAAGAAAGCGCAAGCGGCTACTGTGAAGCTTGGGCAAAATACGGCGCTCGCAGACCGGCTGGCGTCTGGCGCAAATCCTCGTCAGAAGCTGACAGAATCCGAGCTTGCGAGTAAGATGGAACAGATGCGAATCCTAAATGCAGAGAAGACGCGCCGATTCGAGCAAGCCGAACGTGACAGCCGCTCACATGCTATGGCTTATGAGAAAGGTATGGAAGAGGCGCGGCGGCGTCGGGCAGAGGAAGCCGAGCGACGCCGTAGGGGCGAAGAGGAGAGGCGCCGTATGGATGACGAGCGCGCCGCGAATCGTGAGCGGAAACTCAAGGCTATGGGCGCCAAGGAGGGTGGCAACTGGGACGAGGGCAAAAACCTTGAAGAAGAAAGAGATAGAAGGGCTGGATTCCGGGGCGCAAACGGTGGTATTCGTGGCGCGCGCAGCAATGGCGGTATAGCTGGGAGTAGGTTTGCAGAGAGGGATAATGACTCAATCCCTAGGGAGTTTGGCCCCGACGATTTCAGAGGAAGAGGGCGCGGTGGACGTGGCAGAGGAGGTTCAACTAGAGGCGGTGGTAGAGGAGGTAGAGGAGGCTTTAACCACGATGGCGAAAGAGGCGGCGCTTATAAGACGCCAGGGACAACAGCGACACAAAACGGCAATAAACCACAACCGCAAAAAGGAGCACAAGCTCCTCCTACTGCAGAAGATTTCCCGGCTTTGCCAACAACCAAGAAACTAGATACGACGAACAACGCGACAGCTGCGACGAAACCCCCCGTCCCATTACCCGAATTTAATTCTCCTACAGTTGGAAAATGGGATGACGAGATGGCCGCTCTGGACGCTAAGCCTGGAGCATAAAGCGTACCTTTTCAAAGGAGTGCAATCTAAAGGAAAGGAAAGGAAAGGAAGGGAAAAAAGAAACAGAATGCCCAATAGAGTGTACGCTAAGGATAATCTACAGAGAGGGAAGTTTGGATTACAGGCTCGCGCAACACCGCCCAGGCATATGAGAATTAGAGATACCAGAAAGACGGAATAAAAGCAGAAGGCTTCTATTATCAAGAACCAATCAAAGTATTGTATTTTATGTGCGCCTGTCCATAGTGATATCATGTCTAATTTTGGCCACTGAAGCCCGTACGCCAATAACTCCTTCACATGCTTTGATGTCGCCGTTGTATTACCATCCGCTACGAAAACCACGGCCACTCCTACCTCCATATCCGCCACGTCTAGGGCCCCTAGGCCCTCCTTTCCACCCACCGTCACCGTAGCCCTCGTCCCGCATGGGGCCGTCGTCTTGGAGCGAAGGACGCGGACGTCCTCTGATATCCTTGGGTAAGGAGTCGTACGTCTTCCGCATCTGCGCGTAACCTAAGTGCATCTTGCCGTAGAAATGGTCTGCCAACCGACGGTCGTTATCTAGTCTCGAAAGGTACGCGCCACACACGTCGCACACCTGGAGTTTCTGGTGACCTGACGGACCGCTGGTGTCGGCCAGCGTCTTGAGCTCGCGTTCGCGCTCCATCTTGGCCTGGGCCGCCTGGCGCACCTTGAAGAACTCCTCATACGCGCGGCTAACTTCGCCTAGATCGCCGAGGATCTGCACCTCCTGCAGGCCGCAGTCTATGGTGGAGTTCAGGTCAGAAATGGATTTGAGCAGGACGTTAGTCTGCCGGATCTCGTCGGGGGTCTTCTCGAGGCGGCGCTGGGCGGCGTCGATACGCCGGTTGCACTCTTCGATATACTTCTGTAGGTCGCGAGCATAGTCGATCTCAAAGCCGTACTTCTGGCGCGCGGGCTCGGGTAAGCCTTCGTACTCGGTCTTCAGCGACTCGGCGTGGATCTTGGGACACGGTCCGAGATCTTGTTTCGTGTTGGTGAATAAGTCGTGCGGACAGGTGCCGACGATGTAGGACCGGCAGACTTTGGGGTCGGTTAGGGAGACTTGGGATGAGCGCGATGTTTGTGGTCCGCCCATAAGCTGCTCTGGACAAGAGTTAGTTGGACGTTTTGAAATAGGAGAGGTTGGATTTGGTATTACCAAGCAGCTTTCTTTGCTCTGCTGCCATTTTCCAAGTTCAAATTGACAAGCGTTGAATTAGTTATATTATATATTAGAACGAGTTTGCTGGTTGTTTGGGGTGAGTTATCTTGGAAAAGGCGAAAAGGCTGGCGATGGTTGGTATTGACGTGATTGTGAAAAAGTCTATGTATGAAGGATGGCAACAGGGCTGAATTAATTGGCAATTGGCATTAGAGAAAAGTAAGAGGTACCTATGTACCTAGATAGCTTCCAAAGATTGATATTTGCGGGGACCAATTAGGTCATTCTTAGGCACTTTTAGTGGGTTCAACTTGCATCGCTTGGTGGGCTAGGCAGGGGCACAGGAGCCCAATGCAAGCGGCCAGGGGTCCCTTATCTGACTAACAGTTAGGTACCTCATTGTACCTGTAGCCTCACTGAAATTATTCCACGTTGCTGGATCTCGCATTCAATAATCGACGTATCAAAAACTACCATTTACAACATTTACAACCACCAACCATAAAAAGAAAATCGGTCGTCCTCATGGACTATCGACGGCCACAATGCGTCATTTCTTTTCTTACTTGATACCCTTTTCGATTCTGTTTTGGACTGTTGCTCTTGCTTCCGATTATTACGAACAGTTAATTCTTAAACCGTTGCCTCAATCTACCGCTCTCGCCAGTTTCAACTTCAGATCCAACACCAGCTTGTCGCAATTCGAAGCGCACAATTTTCAGTACTTTCCTCGATCGTTAGGGCAGATATTACAACATGTAGGAACAAGAGAACTACATCTGAGGTTCAGCTTAGGAAGATGGGATGCCGAGAGCTGGGGAGCGAGGCCGTGGGAGGGCACTAAAGAGGGTGGAACAGGCGTCGAGCTGTGGGCGTGGCTTGAAGCAGACACTGATGAAGAGTATGCTGCAAAAATACATCTGGCTATTGATTTTATATGCTTACCCTACTTACCGATAGGGCCAGTCGCAAGTGGTTGAGTCTAACAAACGCACTATCCGGCCTCTTCTGCGCTTCGCTGAATTTCATCGATGAAACCAGAACGACTCGTCCAGTCATGTCCTTCCAGCCTGAAGGGGACCACTCGAACACTACCCTAGCTAATATGCAACTGCTACATGGCGTGCTACCGAGGGAAGTAGTTTGTACGGAGAACTTGACACCGTTTCTGAAGCTGCTGCCATGCAAGGGAAAGGCCGGAATATCGACTCTACTCGATGGGCACAAGCTCTTCGACGCATCCTGGCAGAGCATGGCGATCGATATTCGACCTCTGTGTCCAGATGGCCAAGAATGTGTGTTGCAGATCGAGCAAACAATCGATATGGTCTTGGATATCGAAAGGTCTAAACGACCCAGGGGTAAGAATACAATTATCCCATTTACTACCTTAGCTCTAACACGACGTAGATAACCCTATACCGCGACCTCTACCAGGCCACGAGCTGAAATGTAACTCGTCAAAACCATATCATTCCGGAGACACATGCTTCCCTACCGACTATGCAGAGGGTCAAGAGTGGGCGCTCGATCAAATCTTTGGCAAGACGATTAAGGGAGCTTGCCCATTGACTAACCCAGAGGTCCCTCCTGTTTGTATCCAAGTTCCTCATAGCAGAGATATCTATACAACTGCTGGTGCGAGCGAGATAAAAAATGCAAATCGACCCTCACGATGCTACCAGGTTCCCCTGGAATCTGACTTCTCAATGATTCTTCCTCATATGTCACGAGAAGGCGAGCATCCCAAAACGGACGTCGACGAAATTGTCGAACCCGAAACTCCGCTTCTGTATGCGGAGCGTAGCTTTACAGGTCATGGATACGAGCGCGGCGGAGTAAGGACAATCCTCACTAATCCAAGCCCAGATACAGAGGTTGAATTCTTTTACATGGAAAGTTTACCTTGGTTCATGAAAATCTACCTTCATACACTTACGACTCACATCAATGGAGTACCGGGGTCGAAGGATGACATTATCGAGGAGATTTATTACCGGCCAGCCCTAGATCGTGTCCGAGGAACACAGCTCGAACTTCGAATGCGCATTCCACCTGCCAGCACAGTTTTTCTTACGTACGATTTTGAAAAATCTATCTTACGGTACACCGAATATCCACCAGACGCCAACCGCGGCTTCGACGTTGCGGCGGCTATTATAACCATTTTACCTTCCACATCCCCAGACGCCCCATTGGCACGACAAAAGACGTCAAACCTCCGGACTACGTCCCTCCTCCTCAGCCTACCGACACCAGACTTCAGTATGCCGTATAATGTCATCATCTTCACAAGCACGGTTATCGCCCTTGCGTTCGGTGGCTTGTACAATATATTAATTCGACGATTTGTCGGGGCTAATGAGAGCCCTGAAGCTAATGCTGGTGGTTTAAAGAATAAGATCATCGCGGCTGTTGCGAAACTAGCAGGCAGATTAAAAGGCGCGAAAGGAAAAATAGACTAATTGTTAGTTACGGCCGCGCGTAGCCATTGAGATAGACCTAGAGAATTTCTCCCATCAACGGTATGATTGTTTGTTACCTATTACTTCACAGCTCCCCAATATAAAATGGTAGCGGTAGCTAAGTGTAATCGACACCCATAGATTTCAACAGGTATAATGTAATCCATAGCTAGTTGCCGGATTTTTATCTATCTTTGTATATAGGTATGCAAAGCCCCCAAGAAAGCCGGTAATTAATATATATATAGTAATAAAAGAAGCGCCCGCCCCCATAGATAACGTTTTATTCGCACGCAAGTACGAAATCACATTTACCCTATGCCAGCCCCTGAGGCTGAAGAGCGGCCCCGAGTATGTATGTTGAGGAGCGGAAATAGGCCTGCATCCGACCCATTGCCACGGGATTTGACAGTTGTTCCCATTGCTGTTGCCGCTGTTGCCATCTTCTTCCGTTATATTTTCCCTTGGGATCTAGATTGCAGTCTTCGAGGTCGGGCTGTGTCGTAACTGTTTCGATGCTCGAACGCTTACTGTTAGGATAAGATGACGAGTTAAAGGAGTCGATTGTGCTTGTAGCAGAATAGGAAGATTCCCGTCGACGGTGGTGGCTAGGACTTTTATGCCGATTTGGACCGAATTCGTCTACTTCTGGGTCGGGTATAGGATCTGTTTGGACGCTGGCGTCCGCATAGCTCGTCCTGGGTTTAACGTTCGTGGTTAATCCAGGTTTATGTACACTCGCAGTGCCTCTATTGTGATAACCGCAGGTGCAATGACTACCCGGAGCCTTGGTGCCTGTCGAAGTTGCAGATTTCACTGGCGTTGGCGGAGCGTCTGCCCCTTGCGGACTCGGCTGCTCTTTAAGCACACCTAAATCTTCACCGCCGTATACCAAACTGCGTGGGCGCGTGGCCCAGGATCGTCCCCGTTGGTGGAAAGCAATTGGCACGAGAGAGATCCGGCGTAGCTTGTCCGCAGACGATGACCGGATATGGGCTGCCGGCGCTGGTTTCAGATGAGGCCCGGGTAGATGATCGACTGTCGGTGACATAGACGGTAACGTGCTCGATCGTGGCCGTTCCGTATCGCCTCCTGATAGCTCTCGCGCCCTGCTCATCCGTCGTTTGGTCCCCGGAGAAGGGCTTCCGCCATTAAATGTCAGAGCTCGTCGGAGCATCTGTTGCTGGGGACCCGCAGGTTCGCTCCGAACTTCGCCATTCCTATCTGACGCCCAGAATGTGTCCTCTCCCGAGAGTACCACCTGTAAAGTCTCAAAGTCTCTCGTGCTACCATCGACTGGAAACAGCCAATCCTCTAAGCGCCTTGGAAGGCCATGAGATCCTATATTTTGACGAATGTGAGAAAATGAATAATGATGGATGATTGATATTTAAGGACATACGCTGCCTGTATTCACCCGAATGAGTTTTCCAGCAGATGTAGTGCTGCCCACCGGATCCAAGTGCCGTCACGACGAGCTGCGCTACGCCATCCGAGTCGTCGGTGTTGTTGGCTAGAGAGTGCAGGATATCCGCGACCATTATGATTTCTTCGCCAGCGTGGAATATTATTACATCACATCCTAACCACACACCTATTTAATTCGTACCAGCCGTGTTTAGAAGTTAGTATACTAAAGCATGGAGACCTGAAGACCTCAGCACAGTATACGGATTAGTTATTACAATTTCAGATCGTGGAACTGACGGCGAGCTGCCAGCAGCTAACTCATGATCAAAACAAGAATCGTTGAAGGTGAGGCTGGGGAAGAAGTAAACGCATGATTTTAGATACACGGGGAAGGGCCGAGACACCAAGGTCCTGGAAAACATATGATATGGACCCAGTCCGCACACCTCCCCCCTGACCTCCCCAGACAGAGTCGCATCTGAAACCACGACAGGGGATCCATGAACGTAACGTGCCCCATCTCGATTCTAGAGTTTTTATCGTATTATACGAGGACTCGTTGAATATTGTAAGAAACAAATTCTTTTTGCTTACTTTGAACTTGTCACCGTAAGCTTTACTAGTCATAAGTTTTGTCCATTCTTGTTTCCTACACCCTTCCATACAACACTTGGACCTCTTGTTTGAATAAGAAAACTGATGTCGTCAAATATTCATACCTCACAGACTTTTACATTTCAAGGGAAGACCCTTCAAGAAGCTCTAGAAGAAGTCGCCATGTCTATACCTATGATACTGGCGCTCACAATTGCCCCGGCTCTACTAGGAACGCAAGAGGCAATTCGACAAAGTCAGTCCAAGAATAAACGGGAAGAGCACCGAGCTCGTCGCTGCAATCTTGTCGTTTCTTGCGTGAAGCAGTCAATCCGCAGTCGAGATATAAATGGCAAGTTAGTTGTTCTAAAGGATAACAAGGTAAACCATCCATGATAATGTGAACACAGCGAAGTTTTACTTACGCAGAATATCATAGCTCTATATTACCACTGGAAACCTATCTGCGGAAGACAATGCGGCGAACACCACAGGCAGCGGACATCCGTTTGCAGGATATTATTTACCATACCCTGACAAAACATACGAGGGTCTTGTTAGCACTATAAGTGACGACCCACCAATGCTGAACTGGATATACGTCGATAAGGACACATACGAAGTGAAGTATGGTGTCCGCGCCGATGCGCAACCCCATATAACAGGACCATTCGATTGCACTCGGCAGGACCGGCGCATGACTCTGGAAGGTTGGGAAGGGTTTGCTGCAGTTGAAGAGTTTCCGGGAGTCTGGGCTCTATATTTCGACCGCGATGACGATGGCTTAACTACTAAGGTCCCAATGGGAACCAGAGTACTCGAAGTAGAACTGACCCGACGAGAGAAGAAAGAGCGCAAACCTGAGCCAGACCCAAACCAGGCGCAGACTCTAGATGAGAAGATGCGACAACACAAGGAGCAAACTCAAAGAGAGGAAGAGGAGAAGCAAGAAATGCTTCGTACACAGCAACAGACTGATGGGAGTGAGCAAAGGGATGAAAGGCCGTTGCAACAGGACAGAGGCATTACAGAGGATCAGACTACAGGAGAGGCATATGTAGGCGGTGTACAGCTTAATCTAAGCAATCTACACCTCGATCCCGGTTCCCACGCCGAGCATCCATCTGGCACTGTCCCTCACTCGCCTAGCGTAGCGACCGACAACGTCTCATTCTGGTCCGCGGCGAGGAAAGCTGACGGCCTTAGCGACACAGCGTCAGTCACAGCAGCCAGTTCTATCGCCGACAGATTAGATACTCTCGAAGAGCAAGTTAATGAGTTAAGGGAACCGGGATATAAACAGCCTTACGTTGAAGACGAGGCCGTCTCGGAAAAACACGTAAATGATGTATAGAATAGAATATATAGAGCCGCCATATTATTCGCGGGCGAATCATTAAAGATACCCCTAACTATTCAAAATAATAAAACATTCACAACGCATTTCGCCTCTTAGGACGAGCCTACACGTGATCGCGAAGTAGGTAGTCAAGCAAAGATGTTCGAGAGTCAAAGCTTGACAGCTGTGGAGACAAGTTGAAGCGAAAGTCGTGTCCACGTCGTTGGATACGGCGGAGTTGACGTTCAAGGGTATTTGACAGGGCAGCAGGGTTAGTTAACCTCATCCCATCACGGCCTTGCGTGATAATAATGGCTAGTTATTCCGAAATGGGGAATATAAGTTAGGTAGTTTAATATATACAGGTAGTTATACCAGAACCCTTTTAACCATGATATGACCGACTTCTCATACTAGGCAAACTATCCTCGAGTATATCGTTATCATACAACCCATTACAAATTTGTTCAATAATAGCATTTGAAATATTGAAGCTCAGTCTGCATCCTGCATGTCTGGAGGAATTGCGAGCTTGTAATGCTCCAAGAAGGGGTAAGAGATCTACCGTACTGGAGTATGCAAGGTGGCAAGCCATACACCATGCACCGTAGGAAGAATGAAAATCCAGAACTTTATCGATTTCAGGGTCCCGGTAAGAGTCTCCGGCTTGTCATGCCATGCTCAGATCAGATCTGAGCGTTGTTATGCGGGACAGGGGGTGAAGCGAGACCCTTGATGTCTGAGGCTCAACGCTTTGATCAGGGTCCACCACAACCCCGGCGCTAGGGAAGCAATGAGGGCGCAACGAAGTCGTCGCTGTAACTCTGTCAAGGGTTAATTGGACGACTTCCATCGTACCATATCGGACGAGTCCGTTACATCGTGGTGATTATCAATGGGATCTGTGCGTCGCGGCCAGCCCAACACTAATTTGTGTTTCGACCGCGATGAGGGACAGTACCTAACTTACCTAGTAGGAGAGTCTGGAGAAACGAGGTGTCCATGTCGAAGTTCAAAGATATAAGAACACTTAGTGCTCAGGTCAACAATGAAGAATTCATCCTCATCATCCAGCATCAACATCATCATCATCAGCTTCCTTCTTCAGTTCTTCAGCAGGCCTGACCTAGCAACGTGATTATCACTCCGCTAATTCACCATATATTTTTTGAGATCTCCCTTGATCAATCCCATTAACTAATTCAAAATGGCCACCACTAGCACGTGAGTCTCTCAGTAACTATTGGTAGAATGGCATAACTATCAGGTCTAACATGTGTTTTGCAGTACCTCCGCTATCCCCATGAAGAACAACGTCGCTTACAACAGCGACTCGGAGTCAGACGGCCAGGCCCGTGGCGGTCGTCGTCCCCAGAACCAGCTTTCCCAGGCTGCTCAAGCTCTGCCTAAGCTACCTACCTCGGCGGGACTAGCTCAACCAGCAGGTAAGATCAAGCATGTATTGTACAAAGGCAACGGACGCCACTAACCCACTCTCTCCAGGCCAACTTTTGAGGGGTGCGACCGACGAGCACGGCAACCAGAAGTCCGCCGCTCTCCTAGTCGGTATCAAGCTCGACTTGGAAGCGGAAGTCCACCTGACAGCCCGAGTGCGCGGTGACATCTGTGTCGGTCTTTACTAAGAGTGATGCATACCTACCTACCGACATATAATAAAGAGTAGCGCGGATAATTGTTCTGATTACGGAGGGAAAGCATAGCGGTGCGATAGTATCGTGAGAAGCGAAGCGAAGCTGGAGCTGGAGCACACAAGATACCCCATTTTGCAAGGATTGAACAAGGCATAACAAATGAAGTCGTCCCAACACTGATGCCCCTTACACGAGGCTGTGCGGGCTGGCTGGCCGCCGCATAGCGAAGTTGATAATAATATCACGACTTGGAGATCTCGTAACTTCTAGCTGCTTTATTTTATTGATTATGTGAATGCATACAGTGACTGAAGTCTGAAGATAATGCGTGTTGCTTATTTATGTGGCAGAGCTATCAGGGTCTTTGGATTATTTACATGTCCTGATATTTTAAGGGGAAAAAAGAAATCAATGAGAAATATTGTAAAGCTGATTAGAAGTTTTAATTATTATATTATGTATCAAAATAAGTCACTGTTATATTGTGGAAGTTTAAGTCTGCAAACCCCCCCTTTTCGGGAGGTTTAAATATTCTTTTTTTATTTAAATGTCTTTTTCTATGTACTTATATCAGAGACTATGTTAAACAGCTTCAAGTTCTGTCGGGGCACATCTCCTTCGTCTGGCCTCACATCAGTAGGCGACTTAATCTATGGGAAAAGTCGCAAAGCGGCTAGGTATGTCACCACGAATCAATAATGCTTCGATCTCGTCTTCCTCGAAGACTTTGATGATCTCAACATCCTCTGGAGTAGATTTATCCGCAGACAAAAGCACAATGTCGCTCGCTATTACCGAAAGGTGTTTCTTAGCCACTGCAGTGACGATGTACGGGTCATTCTCGTCCTTTTCGCGCAGAACCTGGACTTTGAAGCTGCCGCCCTCTAGATAACCGAGGACCAGGCCATATTCTACACCTGTTCCTTCAGCTGCTCCTTCACCTGCTGTTTGAAATAGGAGACCTTGGTTTTGAGTCATTGTGATAGTGTTTGAAGTACGTTATGTAATAGATAAAGATAATTCCGTAGGTAATAGTTTGTTATTGCTTGTAGTTCAAGGGAGTAGACTGATAGTATGAGAAAAGTAGTTGTGTGAAGAAAAAAAAAAACATTTGGGATAGAGGTAGGCATGTTTATATATCTACTCATAGAACAATCTTCGATGCAGGGTATAAAGGCCCTGTTTACTTACAATAGCACTGATATTTCCAATAGGCACTAGGATGGAACAATGTTCTTGTTCACTCTATTGGGTACATGATTGTATTACTACACAACAAACAGCCTGAGCGAACCTAGAAATGCGCTTTGAGCACAGGAGATTGACATATGGTCGTAAGGTAAGCTTTTCGGCTATTAGAAGCATTGCTAACTTAGGTACTTGGTGGATGAAGTATACGCTCGATTCAAAACCGTATGGCGATACGATTGAGCGAGGTGAGAATAGCATGTATGATACTACCGCGAGGCGTACCGTTTGGCGCAATCTTTTTAATATTTCTTCCAATACTAGATACTCTGTGGCTGAGGTTTAGAGTTATATTCAGCTGCAAAGATAGGACGTATGGTTCCTTCGTAAACCCTCACCCCAGGTATCGGGACTATTATTGTGGTGTCGCTTCTAGTATTTGACCAGTACACTCACCAAAGCCGACTCTCCGGCCTGGCTCTCCACATACCCCTTGAATTATGATTCGGTCACCATCCTTCAAGAATCGACGGACATCCATCCCCTGAAGCATGATATCTTTCCTCCCACCCTCACTTAGCTCTAAAAAGCTTCCCCTTTCGCTCTGCGAAGGTCCGCTTATCGTACCGGAACCAAGAAGATCTCCCGTTCTTAAGGGGCAGCCACCTAGCGTGTGATGCGCAATCATCTGCGGAAATGACCATATGAGGTATTTCGAGCTTGTTGTGCATACCCTCGTTGAGTCGCCCTGTGGTGCTGCGCTGTGTTAGATTCAATTCTTGGGTATCATTCTGTTAAAAATACGTACTCTCTAAATCAACTTGTAGCTCGATTCCGAAGATATTCTCCTCTTTGCCTTCGTTCAAGTACCCCTGTAACGGTGTCCAGTTGTCAATCGGCTTTGTCCGGAATGGCTCAAGAGCATCTGCAAGGACAACCCAAGGGCTGATAGTTGTGGCGAAGTTCTTCCCATTGAAGGGTCCTAACGGAACGTACTCCCACGTCTGGATATCGCGCGCACTCCAGTCGTTTAACAATACGTATCCGAAAATGTGATCTTCAGCGTCAGTGACCTTGATCGGAGAGCCCATGTCATTTGGGGTTGCTATAAAACATCCTAGCTCCAACTCCATATCCAGACGCCGTGAGGGAGCTGTGGTAGGGTGCTTTGGCTCCGCCGTTGGATCAGTAATAATCTGGCCGAAGGGGCGCTTAATCGGCGTGCCTGAAACGACGATGCTGGAAGCTCGCCCGTGGTAGCCGACCGGGAGATGGGTGTAATTCGGCTGTAGAGCCGCTTGAGGCCCGCGAAATAGGGCACCGACATAATACGCGTGGTGGAATCCGGCATAGAAATCCGTGTAGTCTCCAATGCTCATAGGCAGGTGCATCTTGACTTTCTGCTGAGGAAGTACCGCATCTTGTCGAAGTCCTAAATTATCTTTTAAGATTTCCGGTCTTGATGTTTCGGTTGATAAGAGGTCCTGAATAGTGCTGCGGACTTCTCGATGGACCGGTCGGCCCAGCGCTGCAAACTCATTTAGTGTGGAGTTTGAGAAGATGCCGGGATAATTCTTCAGCGCAGGGAAGATATCATCAAAGTCCGGGTACGAAGATAAGACTTTTAGATCAAGCACATGAGATCCGATGGCGATGGCGACATGCGGCGCGGGGTTAGCCGGCGAGCTGATGATGCCGAAGGGGATATTAGCTAGCGAAAATGGACTGTCGGGAGATACGTCCGGAACCCATGTTGACGCCATGATATGTTTCTAATTTCCTAATTTTAAACCTCGAATGGTAATAAGAATAGCCGGTCAGTATATGAATTATATTAATGATTGAAAGTCGTGTGTATCTACCTTAATTGACTTGTCGCCAAGGGGCTATAAATGAAGCTAATTATTGTCGGCATTAAGCATTAAGATGTTCTTTGGAGTCGTTTACACGCATAGTCGAGTGGGTACCACAATACCGAAAATCCCGACAAAAGCCGGCGGATAGAGATAGCCGGCATATTGAATAGAAAGACATGCCACCTCCGGCCGTACGTGCGAAGAAACTAGCGAGGCGGTTAGGGCTGGATATTCGAACAAAACATGGGTCGCCAATGCAATGCAACATAGACTTTATTGAATAACTATGCGTACCTGTTAATTGTTAGTAAGCTTTGATGCGTTTATGTTCTCTCCGTCTCTACCCGCTTATTCGGATGGCCGGCGTAAATAAGTCACAACGAAAAGGGGAATACATGGATTTGAATAGCCTTTCAAGAATGATTATTCAAACAACTCGTCTCTGATTATACTCTAACTTAAAAGCTATTGACTATCTAGGATAATAATAGGTGCCTTATTAGGGGTAGTTTAAAACAGTTATCTTATTACTTCAACCTCAACGTTGATAAATTCTTAAACATTGACTACCTAACTACCTGTTAAACAGTAACTACTTAAACAGTAACATATTACAAACCTAAACATTAAATCAAAATTGCCAGTGATATATGAAGCACAGTGATCGTTGAAAACCCTCAAGATGGTTTAATTTTCTCCATCAGAAAAATATCCCAAGTCCCATTCGTCCTTATGTTGCATTAACCTCTTCTCCGCAAATGCGGCTTCTGCAAATAATCCAACTTCGTCCAATAGGTCGACCACGTCATACGGAGCTTCACCAGACGCAGCGCGTTCTAGGTTCTGGAGCACGGAAAGGTAATTCTCGACTGGTGCGTGAATGGCGAAATTCGTGAGTCCTACGCAGATTCTAGCCCACATTTCTGCCCATTCGCCAGACATAGTCCCCGTGGCTTCTCGAAACTCGATCGTTGGCGCGGTCTTCCCAGGTTCCCTGAGGTTGTAACATTTATATCTGAAAAGATTATAGTTGGATCTTTCCGCAGTATCCAGCAGAAATAATATTACGCACGAGCTTTCGCAGGCAAATATTTCACTGACACCGGCGAAGACGCCAATATCAGTTTTAGCCTTTTCATCGAGGCTTATGTGAACTTTGTGCTTAACATCGGGTAGAGGTTTGCCGGCTTTAAACCGTTGAGTGCGACGCTTGTGTATTGGCGAATACGGTGGATTGGGATGTTTACCTTCGGGGTCCTTAGTTGTTTTTATTAACATTTCAATACGAGCCTGAATTTCTGATTTGTCAAGCTCCGGGGCTGGCTCTGTCTCGAGGGTTGTCAATATACCTACCGGGAGGCCCCTAAGATCCTTACAGAAAAATGGCTGGAAGTGATCCGGCTTCCGAGTTTCTTCATAGGCCTCCACGTGCTCCTTAAGCTGGTACTTTGCTCTCCAGGCTATAGGGTGCTCCCCGTGTCTCATCCCGCGTCCGATATATCGTTCACAACTATCTTCTTCCCAATGGTCAGTATCGTGCAGCACATCAGATATCTTATTTCCTCGAGCAAGCGGACTTCGATCCCGAATGCTTTGACAGTAGAAGTTTACCCTCCTTGTCGGTGGATGAAGCAGAGAAATGACGGGGTCAACGGCCCAGAACAGCGAAGCGGCTCGCTTTACGTGCTCCAAAGGCATAATTTCTTTCCCATCACTGACGTGAACATGAAACCCGCATGTATGATTAACAACTATCCGATAATGGGACTTGATTAGCTCCACGGCATAACGGATTGCGCTAAATGCCCCAGGCAAAGCACTCTCCGCGGGAGATGTCATCTCGATACCTGACCAGTTGGTATCTCCCTCATATTTAATGCTTGTATCTAGTTTAGTATTCCAAAGACGATATTCGTTGTCGCAACGGCGGATGGGTGCTCGTTGAGCCGGTAGGCCATGATCAAGTAGAACATCGCAAATCCGACTATAAACCGCGCCATCTATTGTTGTTTTAGAAACGCCAGAATCGCGAAAGTGATGTGGTAGCCTAAGAATAGGAGGTAAATCGCTTGCTATGTCTAGGTCAGGGTCATATTCATCATCCCATATCCATACAATTATAAATTCCAGCTCGACACCGAAAGTGCGAGGTCGGGCCTGAGGCCACCGCCCGTTTGTAGACATAGCGATTATCTGCTCTTCACTTGGAGTTGCTAAATTTGAGTTATGGAGGGCTGCCTTATATTTCAAAGCAGATGGCGGTTATGAGCTCAATTATATGCCTTTCCAGCTGACCACAGAGTTATTGTATGCTTGTAGTGGCTGTTCAAGGACAATGATTGTTGTTTAAAGACTCAACTGGGAATAGAATTGAACGGCGTGAATAAACAACGGTAAGCAAACATCAGCTTCTTGAGTGCATATTAACTTTTATTTATATAAGTTGTCAACCAGGCCCTCGGTATAAAACCACACAATCCTTTATGTTCGTACGCCAACGTATGGTTTATCCCCAATAAAAGTGACAGGCCCCCCCTTGCTCCTTTGTCTGCGTACTAGGAAATGGTTATAATTCGACAATAACGAGTTCATAGTTTCAGCGTGTTGTTTCAAGCCAATTATAATTTTGTACCTAAGCCATATACCTGGGCATGTAGTCACTGCCTTTCTATGCATTTGTTGTATTTACAGTTGTATTGGAAATTGTCCTGAGATAATAGAGTATGAAAATGTCTTTTTGATAGTATACATAGTGCCAAAGTTATAGAGACCCCTGGTTTACTATATTGTGTAAAAAGGAACGTTAACTCCTTATAAATACCTTATTAATGTATGCTACTATCTTATGTTTGAATGCCTTCATTTATTCATATAGTTATTTAATAATTTCTACTTAATGTTAAGCTATCCTCTACAACCATCCCCTTGCAATTATAACCCCTATTTCCCAACACAAGGTAGGGTCATAGTTCAAGGATCCTTGAACTTCCATCACCTAAGAATAACATTCTTACAGATAAATCGATAATTAAATACCTACTATGTGAAATTGGGGGCGATCTTGTAGAAATGTGCCAAGGTTACCATTGAACCTTCTCATACATTCGATGTTGCGATGTAGAATTCAACAAAGAGGCTGATATATAATACAAATCCTAGATAATTGAAGCGCCGAAACTTTCGTAGGTAGGTACCTAGGTAGGTAGGTAACTATACGGCGGTTAAACACTGTTTATGAACAAGCTGTATCGTTGAGGAACAATCAATTACTTTTCGAACATTAGATATTGTCTAACATCATGGATTTATCGATGAGTTGGTTTGCTCCGAAATAATATTGTTTTACTACAATACCTATATTTCTACTGTTAATTAACAGTCCGACTGTATATACTTGAGTTTAACGCCTATATATTCACCTTTACGCCCAAGTTTGTCACCGATCAGTACAAGTCAAAATACTTTACACTTATCACCTATCTTGTTGTGCATTCTTACAATAACTAACTAAGGTATCATCTACTTGATTACTTTGAAAGCGGTCACAAATTTCAAATCGAATATCATGGCTGACCAAGGTGTTTCGCGGCCCCCGTTAGGCAAGCTAATTGTCGGCAATACAAGCCAGATTATACTTGTTAATTTCGACGGCGCCACGTTCTCTATAGCTTCCAGATATATACTCCCGCACTGGGTGCCCAGTTCAATATTATTTAAAGAGCCTAATTTGCTTTATGCTGTAAACGAGATAGGTACAGACACTAATATGTTAAGGCTGGTACCTAACACTTCGGTTGCACCTGATGCCATAGGTTTCGACAGGCTTTCGTTCGTTACCAATGCCCATGGCTCATTTGGGGGCAATTACCTTGCGTTCAATACCGATAAGACTCGTATGGTTGAGACTTGCTTCTCAAGCGGCAGAATCGATGTCTGGGACACCTCAGCAGCGGACAGGATTGTTTTAAAAAGAAGTATCCGGACTAGAACTGAAAATGGCAACCAGTGGCCGCATCAACGCAGACCAGGTCCACGTCAAGCCATCCTCGAGCCAACTGGTCGCTTTTTTATTATACCGAATCCGGGTACCGATTCGTTGCACGTCATGGACACAAAGGATGACAAGTACGAGATCACGGGCATTACCGGTGTGCCTTACACAATCTCGCCGGAGAGTATCGCTTGTATCACACATGGAGGAACCCCCTACTTGGTAGTGGCAGGGGGCCTCTCTACTGCAATCGCCTTGATGCGAATGGAGTACACTGATACTACAATCCGGTTCACTACAATCCACTGGGGACACGCCGGTAGGAGGTGGGACCCAGGCGAGATAATCATGTCATCGTTCTTAGGACTCGAAGTCGCCAAAAACCAGCGTGACATTTACCTCTGGAATCGATTCCCAGGCGAGCCAGGAGGCCATATCGCATACTTCAGACTCACTGAGGACGGGGGCTCGTTAGGGCTTACTCATATTGACCACATACCAACCCCCGACATACAGCCGCGCATGGTCAGTCTGAGCGGAGATGACAAGCAAGAGTTTGCATTCGTAGCTAACGAGGATGGCGAATCGGGTCTCATCGTATTCAGGCGGGACCCAACGACAGGTAGGTTGGACCCGAACCCCGTCGCAACGTTTCCAAATGACCTTCTTGTTCCCTACGGAGCTTCACGGGATATTCTAAGAGGCGTCCAATTTGTTCGTGAGCTTTAGTTCAAATAACAGCCTTGCAAGATAGACCAACTAAAGGAGGGGAATGTTGGGGAGGCACCTAACCTAATCTTTGAGTAAAGTAGCGCAAAATTGAAGGCGTCAGGCTGTGATGTTTCCTGAGGTTGTGTTATTTATGATAAAAAGGAATTGCCCCTTAGATGTAAAAATACTACCCTTTTGTTGCGCAATATAAAGTAATTGTTCTATTAATTCCCTAAGTGTCCAAGCAATAATTTAACGTGTACTTCACCGATTCTTACTTTTTTATTAGCCCATTGTCCTTTCCTTTATTTTCTATCTTAGGTAGGTATCTATTCCACGTACCGTTTTAAACATAGGAGGCTTTGGTGGAGCACATTTCGGAGAGACAAAAGGAAGGGCCTCAAAAATGAACCCATCGAACTATACACCAACTAATGTAATGTAACCCTTCGTTAATGTATGAGCCTATAGAGAAGCTGTGTAGTTGGCTATCGATGTTACGTAAAAAGATCACTCTTGGAAGGTGAATCCGAATCCCTAAGATGCACTTAGGAAGTACCTAAGCCAAAGCATGCAAATATATAAGGAAGCTCAATCCAAGTTATTCAAACATTACCTGTAACCTGAGCAACAAATATTGCTAGCGTTTGGCGTTTAAGTTACCTAGGCACCTGGTTGCCAGCCGGCAGTCCGTGCATGATTAACTACTGGTGTTTGCACCTGCCCTAGATTTTCTGCCAAACCACCCACGCACCTTCCATCTCCTGTATTAATGTAAGTTGATTCTTTCACTAGAAAAAGCCGGCATTTGTTTTTATGCACATGCCTAGTAACGTTTAATTCTTCCACACAAAACTCCAGGCCACTTGGCTAGTGTTCTCCGATCTCTTTTTGTCTACCATAACTTAGCAGAAATGCCTCTCGGATGGTATCTCGCCCAGGGTTTGTACCCGCTTGGCCCATCTAGTAGCGATGATGAGGAGGGCCCCTGCGAGTTGCCTGACGGCCGAATCGTTTGTGGTCCACATGGCTTTGTCGTCTGTGGAAAATGTTGCACAGATTACAGCTTCATGGACAGTTCTTCGGATGAAGATGGATTTTACGGCGGTGGCGATGATGATGACGATGATGATGACAACGACGATGAAGATGATATCCCTATAAACGATAACGAGGACAGCGATCTTGATCTACCAGGTTCCTTTGGCACGGAAAAGAGAAGAGGCACTGGCCAGGTCTTCCCTATGAGGTTCATTCCACCGATGACTACAATCATGCCAACGGAGCTGTTTCCTGCCCAGAGAATTTATCCTCAAGTGTACAGGTAAGAGCAGCGTAAAGAAAAATATGCCCGCCTTAGAATAAACAGTCAGGTTCGCTAATATGTATTGTTAGATACATCAACCGCAATGACCCCCAAGCGGTTCTTATCTTCACCGACGGCGCTTGCTTGGATAATGGCCAGCCAAACCCTAAAGCCGGCTGGGCGATCGTCCATGGACAGAAACCAACGGGCGTGCCGTTAACCATATCCGGCAGGTTAGAGAGCAAGGGACCATTTGGCGACGAGGGCATTCAGAGCAGCAACAGGGCCGAGCTTCGCGCTGTCATTACAGCTTTACGCCTCCGACACTGGCCTGGTGAAGGCTTTAGTACCATGGTTATTGCCACTGACTCGGAGTATGTAGTCAAGGGATCTACAAAGTGGGCGAGATCATGGACTAGAAATGATTGGAAGACGAACACAGGTGCGGACGTCAAGAACAAAGACATGTGGGAAATGCTCCTGGGTGAATTTGAGAGATGGAACGAGGAAGGTCTCTCTATCAAATTCTGGAGAATCCCAAGAGACTGGAACACAACCGCGGATGAGGCTGCGAAGAAGCGTGCTTCAGAGGATAAGGTTCCTAGCCAATGGGTGGAGGTGCTCGGTCTTCCTTTTTAAGTAGGATACTTTTAGTCTCAGGCACCCCGTGGTTATTACTATGGTGTACCGGTTTGCGGGTAGCTATCATCAGCCACCTACTAGGTAGTCCCATTTCAAAAGACTAGGTACCTAAGATATAATTGAGTCCCAAAAGAGCCATACTATATCAAAGCCTATACAAGGCACGAAATCTGGAATACCTATCGTGGCAACGGACATCAAGACTAAAAATAGATGCAAAGGATTGACTTACACGATTGGCGCTTTATCGAGAGGAGGTCTCCGAGGTTTTATCGGTTATCAGCCTGGAGGTTACATCCGACCCCGCCGAAGCTCAGGTATACCTAATAGGTACTTGATCTACATGGCATGGCAATTACCTGGGCGGAAAGGAATACACTACCTGACCCCAAGGTTGTTGTTAGTTTATGTCACCAACGATTAAAATGGTAAAAACAATGCGAAATAGTGGAATAATTAGTGTCAAACGTACCTAACCTAACCTAAACTAAAGAAATCTAATAAGATTGATAGTCTAATAACATGGCTTCACTCGATTTACTCAATTACGCTACAACGGCCCCGCCTCAGCAAAGACATAAACTCTCCGAATTAGAAGACTACCCACGATGGAACACGGAATTAATCGAGGCCTTGCGCGCGAGAGATCTACTCTCATTTGTCACTACGAGTATTTCAGCACCCGCCGGCGATAATGATTCTCCAGAATACCTGCGATGGCGGAAGAACCGTCTCACTGTCTTGCTTATGATGAAGCGTTCGCTATCGGCAGATATGAAGTGCAAACTTTCTAATGCCGGATGGGATTTCGGACGTAGCAGAGACCCTAAGAAGATGTACGATTTGATTCGTAAGGTTGCTCAAAATGGACAAGACGGCGAGAGCGACACGGGTTCCAAGCCCCCATCGCCACTAGAGTCGAATGCTGTGGTAGATGATCTTGTCAACGAAATTGAAGCAATAGAGCAGGAAGATGACGAGGAAGACTGGACTGCCATTGAAGCACCGTCTAAAAAAGTACCGTCTCAAGAACTACCTCCCGAGTCGATTCAGGATCGCGTCATACGTGTATGGAACGACCTACGGGACTTAACAGCTTATTACGATATCGATGGCTCCGCATCACGGAATGCGAGGTTAGAAGCATTCTACCAAGATGAACTCGCAGACCTCGATAGACAGCCTTTCGACTCATACTCCTCCCAGGATGATAGGGTTGACCACCTATTACTTCGAAACTACATACAGCGTGCACAACGCACACTTGAGCTCGACAAGGCTCGAGATGCCAAGTTTACAGCCTTCATTGAACCGTTTGCTACGCCTATTACGGCATGGTGCGAACAACGCCGGCGCGTCGAGCCAATTGACCCTAAGGCCCTTGCCGATAGCCTTATTGTGGCGGAGAAGCTTGTCCTCGAGGCCCGAGATCACGTCAATCACAATGCTGGAAAGTACTCGAAGGCTACTGGACATCGTGCCGCCCGTAGGGTTGCAGCTCTGCAAAAAAAGCTAGCGGAGACGTACTCCTTTTACAAGGACTATGATCCCTTGTTAGACTGGTGGGTGGCGGAGCCTTATAAAAGCCTCGATGCGGCTCTTGGTGGTACTGTAGCTCTCCTACGCGAGGTTCTAATGGGCTTAAAGCCCGGTGATGAAGAGACCATTGTTGGAGAGCCCATTGGACGCGACGGCCTTCTAATTGACCTCGAAGCTGAGATGATCCCATATACACCCGAAGAACTTATACGTATTGCGGAGAACGAATATGCATGGTGCGAAGCGGAGATGATCAAGGCATCGGAACAACTCAGCTTCGGACCATATTGGCGCAGCGCTCTTGAACACGTCAAGAACCTGTACGAACCACCGGGAGCATACCCAGCTTTCATCCGGTCGCTCATCGACGAGGGTGCCGCGTACGTCAAAAAGCACGATCTTGTAACAGTACCACGCATCGCCGAGGAGGCTATCCGCATGACTATGATCGAAGCAGAGAGGCAAAAGGTGTCGCCGTTCTTCCTCGGTGGGCCGACTATGCAAATGTCTTATCCGACGCGGTATATGGCACACGAGGCCAAGCTCATGTCGCTGCGCGGTAACAACCGGCACTTTGGACGAGCGACAGCCTTTCACGAGATGATTCCAGGTCATCACTTGCAAATCTTCATGGGAGAGCGACACCATCACTACCGCCGCGCGCTTTTCGACACCCCCTTTTTCGTCGAGGGGTGGGCACTTTATTGGGAGATGGTACTCTGGGAGCGAGGCGATTTCTTCGTGAGCGCGGAGGATAAGATTGGCTCGCTGTTCTGGCGGATGCACCGGTGCGCGCGGATCCTGTTTTCAGTGCGTTTCCACCTAGGCCAGTTGGACGCACAGCAGTGTGTTGAACTCCTCGTCAACAAGGTGGGCCACGAGCGCGCAACGGCTGAAGGCGAGGTCCGACGCAGTCTTGGCGGTGATTATTCGCCTCTATACCAAGCCGGCTATATGCTTGGAGCATTACAACTGATGCGTCTGCGAAAGGAGGCCCTGGGAGATGGGCACGGGAAGATGGGCGAGAAGGAGTTCCACGACCGTGTCCTACGCGCCAACGTCATGCCTGTTGAGATGCTGAGAGCGTTAATTCTGGACAAGGAGCTCAAGGAGGACTTTAAGTCGGAGTGGAGGTTTTATGGGGATAAGCTACCCCCAGCGCGAGAGAGACACAAGTACTTATTAACCCTTGACACACCGAGATCGTAGGACACTTCTTCAACTAGAATGCGCACTGGCGCATTTGTCATTTCAATTGCTAGTGGTGTGGCGTTCTGCTTACGGCTTATGGATTTACGTGTATGCAAAACCAAATATTAGATATATTGGTGAACAATCGCTCCGCATCAGATATTGAATTGGAATTCCCACTTGCTTTCTATTTCGGTCGCCCAAAGTACCCTCGTCATATAATCATAACCATGTTAATTCTTTATCTAACTACCTAGAAAATGTAACCTTTAGAACTTCGATATGGTTATTATTGGTATACGAGATTGTCAGAGTCTGACCGCTTGGGTCGAGATACGGGTGCGCGACACCAGCGTACGTTAGGCCGCCGTCGATGGGCGTTGCTGTGAACACTTTGACATCGGGAGTCCACGGGCCTTCAAGCAACGTTGCGGTACGTAGGAGCACGTCTGAACCACCGGGACCTGCGATCAGTATTAGTTGGCTGATAAGAGCTTTTCGAACCCCTTTTGGACTATAATGATCCGGAGCCAGGGGCCACAGCGCCCGAATGAAGTGATAAATGGGGGCGTGAAAGAAAGAATTGGGCAACGATAAAGGCATATATCATGGATTAAATAAGACCGTATTATGTGAAGTCCAATAATTCATCCTGATTAATGAAGAGTCCGAGAATTAAATGCCGTGAGGTAATATAAATATGTAGATTGCAGTGCAGCAATTAATCGGGATGGTGCCCCTAGGCGCCTCGGAGTCCTGGGAGAAAAAACGGGGTGGTCTAGTTGGAAGCACCGGGCTTCCTACCCCTTTGGGGACTTGCCATTTTCAGGTTTTTCGCGGAGGGGGCCTGTTCGAACCGGCGGATAACGGGCTCCAGCCGACTTTTTGCCCTTTTGTTGGCAGGTGGCCCACGTTATCATCGTGAGTCACGGTGCTTTTCCTGAAAAAAGAAGAAAAAAAAGAATACTGACTTAGATGCACAAAAATATAGCATTCGTAGAACTCGCTCCACACGATCTGTCCCTGGCCAATAAGCCACGCAACCGCCGTCCGCGCGCCGAACTCCGTCAACGGCTGCCCCGTCTTCCATCCCGAGTCCGGGCCCCACCAGTACTCGTACCGATCCAAGTCGTACGCATCAGCGGCTTTAACGCGTAGTAGGTACACGTACTGCGCGTCGGTAGTAGAATCCGCGACGGACGTCGGCGCCCCGCCCCATGCGTACACGTACTCGGATCGCGGGTCCCGGAACGCAGCTACGTCGCCGTACCGAGGCGTGTTGTTAGACGGCCACCAGTACCCGTTGTCCCCGAAGCGTTGGGTTACGGTTGGTTCTCCGTTTATGAGCTCTACTTTCGCGACGCCGGCGCCCTTTAGACCGTCGTCGTTGGCGTTCTACAGGGAGGAGTCTGTTAGTTAGTCTGTTATGCCGGTGGGGATTGGGTTGGGTTAGGTTGTGTTGGCGTTGAGCTTCATACGACGAGATAAAATACACCGCCTGCACCGTCGGCAGTCTCAAATAGACTTGTTCCGCCGAAACCGTACGTGTTTTCCTCGCCCCAGTCCGCGTTGAAGGGGACGAATTGCAATTGGTGCCGAACGGGGGTGTCGTCGTTGAGATGCATATCTGCCACAACGAGCGGATCGTCTGTCATTAGGGATACGGCGTCCCTGACGAGGCCGTGGAAGCCGTCCGGATCAGCGCTCGGGTCTGTCACGCCGGGCGCACACCACAATGTATCACCATATACGGCGTACCATTTCCCCTGCAGCTCGCCCGTGAAGCCTAGGTCCCGATGGCTGCAACTATTGTTCGGGTTCTGCTGGCCGAGGTACTGCGTCTCGAATTTCGAGATCGGGTTTGTTCCTACGGGCTGCGTGGGGTCCGTCCCGTCTTGCCGCCTCTGCCTGACGAGATTGGTAAGTTTACTCTCCAATCCATCGTTATACGCAAGCGCCGAACCCGCAAGGAGGGAAGCGAGAAGGGTTGCGCAGTACAACATCGTTGACAGTTATAGTGACACAAGTATACAGCATATCATAATGGGGAGGACGACTGGTAATATACATCTTTAGTAGCTTTAAAATATTGGAGGATGAGCAGTGGCTGATGGCTGCTCTACATAACACAAGGATCCTATGTCTCAAAGTCTTGGATCGTCGATGAATGTTTCTAAAAACGGCAGCCCCGTTCGTTATTAATGCTCTGATGCTCCGCTAACTCAGCCCTATCTATTCTCAACTTCTACTCTCCTATAACTATTTTACTAGTCTACTCTTCTATATTTCATTAGTACCGCCACAATTTTTCCAACCAATCAGATCCTTAGAATCGCCCCGCAGTTGGCGACATTTTCCTTTACCATTCTATCGCATAACGTCTGAAACATATGCGAATAGTATAGAAAGTTCACGCAAAACGAGCTCTATCTAACAATACTAATTATTAAACCTTTTATACAATATTGAAATAGTTTAATTGATTTTACAAAAAATTTATCGGACGTGCATTGAGGTGTGGCTAGCCAATCAGAGGCCTGACTTTAGCTGTGGCGTCAGTTTTGCGCATGATCCCCCCCCCTTCTCCCCCGTACGCGCTTGCGCGGACGGGCAACGCAGCTAGTATTTCTGTATTGTACTTGACCGAATCGAGGCCGATTCGGTATAGTTGACAGACTAAGTTAATATAACTACAACATACAGCTGAGACTTAGGTAGTAAAAGTACCGAGAAGGACATTCCAGGCATAGATGCCAAATCCGCCACTAGAAATACCTGCCCAAGTTACCGTCAGGGCTGTGTAGACAAAACAAAGAGCCCGAGATCAAATCAGTTCACCAATTACAAAGTTGTAAAGACAAATGTCTTCACGGGTGAGTCTAAAGTAGCTTAAAACATATGATCTATTAATTTGTTAACAAAGTTGTGTCGTAATTTAAATTAGTTATATACATTAATAGTTTACCTCATTTATCTTCAACGTTCCAAGTGGGATACCAAGTCCGTCTATTAAATGACCAGGTCCCATAGTTTAGTGGTAGTGAGGGACTTCTATGATCCAGTTTAGCGACGGTGTAGATACACAATAATACAAGGTATCATATGGGGTATAGATAGATTAGAAATCTGGTAAGACACCATGAATGCTTTAATCCATGTTCGCGCCGTACATCTTAGCTTGATCAAGAGAAGGACGGTCAAGATGCTAAGAATTGAGAGCACAGCAGCAACGCCTGATCGTTTAGATGGTAACATGAAGATTGTGTTTTTTTCATATTCGTATTCCGGGGACGAAAACATGATCAATAGCTAACAGTATGCGGTGTGATTTGAACCGTAGGGAAGGATTGTGCTCTCGTGTTGATATAGCCTGTAACTGCTTGTTTTGATTTTATTGATATATATGGGATAGGCTTCGGATGGTTTTAGTACTTGTGTCTAAATGTTTCGCGATATCGATGGTTGGTCTACGCCACGCGTGTGGGCTACAGTACGAGAAGCGTCATGCGAGTTCATAACCTGGAGAGAAATACCCCTGTCTTGAGCCTCGTCGTGGCAGTCCCAGTAGTATAGGTACCGTCTAGGTACTTGAGCTTTACGATGCAGTACTCCTTCCGTACACGAACACTTTAATTTAATGCCTAAGGTTTACCTTAGGATGTTGTGTTGAATGCGAGTAAAAATTTCCTATTTGGGACACATGCCTTGCTACCTTACAGATATTACAGATAAATTTCCTGCCTTATAGAAAGCAGTAAATATGAAAATAATAAGTCTGCATATGCATGTGTTTAAAGCTTCTTTATTACTTAGGTCTCCAGGCAAAGTATTATCCAGCCGTGTAATAGCAGTAAATTCGGGCTATTTTAGGGGTGCCCTCCTATTTAAGGGGTAAGTAGGTTGTTAATATAATAAGAATAATTATAAATATAATAAAAATAGTATAGAAACATGGTGCGGTGTAAACCTTAGGCTTTTGTGTTGCCCGGAGGGTAACCTCTAGTTTAGGTAGGGTTGCAATTTGGAGTCAAGATACGCATCATAATCTTACAGTTACTCAGGTGTGCTTTCACAACGCTGATTGGATCACATTTATTAATTGGCTTACCCTGCCTTACCTAGGTATATGAAGCGCGCATTGGATGCCGCCTACCGTTCCGCCCCCACGAGGGAACCCGGATGATCTACGTTGAGGCGGAATCGCCCAGATATCGATCCTTAAAATTGACGTCGAAATACCTAGGTACTTCACGTTGGTTACGTTCCCATTAATTACCTACCTACCTAATGTTATGAAGATGTGTGCATCAATATTTCTCGAAGGTCGTCATCGATTGGTCGGACTGCAACGTACAAACAGCAGGCTGTAGAATCAGTATGTGATGTACTAAGCACACACGTATTATTTATATCTCAGATTGTTATGTTGCAATCATATAGGTATATAATATTAATTGGATAGAGAATAGAGTGACTCGAACTTATCATAATACTTCATTATTTACCTCCTATTATACTGAGAACGCTAAAGCCATGCGGATTCTCACAAACTACGATACCGCCTTAATGGCGTTTGGCTTGGTGGCTTCACTTCTTATTTTACTCCCGATGTTAATTCTAGCGGCGTCAACTATGCGATTCAACATCACTATCACTCAAAAAGGCGACTCCAAACGTACCCCTACTCTCCCCTATATGTTACCGTTCATTTTCCATGGTGTTCCGTTGATTTGTGATCCCGCCAAATTTATAACGGAAATATTGTGTGCTCATATCTCGACCGCTTCGGATCTAGTATGCTAACTTGAATATCAGGATGCGATATGGCTGGCGAAGACCACTGCGTATTCGAGTGCGTTGGCTCCAGTACATCATAGTAGCTAACCCTTCGCACATCCAAACTATTTTTAAGTCGTCCAAGCAGTTAACGAGCAAACCGGCAATCCTACATTCCTTAAAGCACATTCTAAAGTCCCCCGCTCACGCCGTCGCCTTTTATGCTGCTGATAACTCGGGAATAGCCGCATCGCCACGGAAAGGAAGCAATATCAAGCATCATAATAGGATCAACTTCCATCAAGCTCACACTGTACATGAATTCCTTTCAGGCCAGCATCTAACCCACATTGCGGATCGATATTTGACTATATTGCAGCGCAATTTGTCTTCTTTATTTGCTTCTCGCTCTGATGACTGGGTAGAGTATCCCGACTTGTACCAATTCATTCAAATACAGGCAACAAAAGCTTCAATCGAAACAATCATGGGCTCTAAAATACTTGAAATCAATCCAAACATTATCGATGACTTTTGGGAATTCGATAATAATGTTCCTCAGTTCCTGAAATGCCTTCCTCGTTGGATGATGCCTGCCCCATTCAAGGCTCGAGATCGAGTTCATGACAGTATCAAGAAATGGCATGCCTACGCTCATGCTCATTCGGACTGCTCTCGGATTAGCGCTAACGATCCAGAATGGGAGCCTTTTTTTGGTACCAAGATGATCAGGGCTAGACAAAACTACATGCTTAAAATGAAGCCCCTGGACGCCGATGCCCGTGCATCCGAGGATTTAGGCCTTATGATGGCGTATGACGCCTTATCAGAACATCGTTTACTCTTTGCGGATGCTAATCAAATATACAGGTCCAATGGAAATGCCGTGCCTTGTATTTTCTGGTTTATATACGAGGCGCTTCGGCACCAGAGTTTACAAGAACAGATGGTGGCTGAGGTGACATCATGTATGAAATCGGGGGAACTTGATATCACCAGTCTCTCCGCCCAGCCTTTGCTGCAGTCGGTATATGCCGAGGTACTACGGCTTCGCATTGCTACGGGGGTGGCTCGAGTAAGCGAATTCGGTGCCTTCAATCTTGATGGATACCATATTAAAGAGGGCCAACCCATTATAATTTTCAGCCGGCCAGCCGCCTTGAATGAGGAAACCTGGGCACGTGCAGGAAAATCGGTCTCCGAAACCGCGCCTCTGGACGAGTTCTACGCAGAGCGTTTCCTCGTGTCTATGGGCGACGGGGATCAACGAAAAAACACCACATCATCTACTTCTGCATCGGCAGAAACCAAGTACAGTTTCTCGTTGAACGGGCTGGCTGGATCCTGGATCCCATACGGCGGGGGCCAGCGAATGTGCCCGGGCCGCCACCTGGCGAAAGGGGAAATGATCGGAACCTTTGCCGTGTTGTTCACCCAGTACGACATCGAGCTCACAGCGCCTCATTCACCGAAGATTGAGTCTGATCTGAAGTGGTTTCCTGTAGGCGCGCTTCCACCTGTGGGTAAAGTGCCGTTCCGAATAAGGTCGAGGCCAAAGCTAGATTAAAAGTCATGGTCAGACAAAGCGTACTTACCTACCTAAGGTACGGAGGTGGTGTGAAGTAACATATTAGTAGGGTGACACTAAATAGCATATTAAGAGGGATAGTTTTAATTCTCATGGGTTCTATTCGTACTTCTCTGGCCCCCCTATCTATGCGAGGCGAGACTGATGTATACCGAGTGTGAAAGTCACCAAGCCAAAGTGTATCACATATAATCCTACTAGGTATACACGCATATAATACGTAATAACTATATTATAAGCAGCCTTTTGTTAAACCAACAGCCTTATACGCTAAATTTGAATAACCAGCTTAACATCATACTTAGGTACTTGTAACGATACTTGATATTATAACTGAATTAATACTGTGTGCATTTTTGTTTACTCGCACGTGAATTTGCCAAGACTGGATGTGCCAGATAGGTATTCAGCCCCAACCTTCGTATTATAACTACCTAGGGTTAGGTACTTATCACGATATGTATTGTAAATGATGTTATATTGTGTACTTAAAGTTATTAGGAGGGAGGATCTAGCTTCATGTATATATATATATATAGGGTACATAGGTACGTAACTGCACTTTTCCACATATATTTGATGAAATGGAAAAAGTTTGGAGTTATTAAAGATTGTGATAACTTGGTATTTTAGCAACAGTAAATTAAGTAGATACTTTACTAAAATAACTTCATGCGAGTTAGCCTGTCATTGTTATTGAAGTTAGTTACACGTATCTCCTCAAATGTCAAAGGGGCACAGGTATATTGCTCATCTAGATCTGATTGGTTGTGCTTTTGGTAGTATTCAAAGGATGGTATGAAAATCGATGCCAACATTTGGACCCCAACCTTCGTATAAGCTTACTTGCATTAGGTAACTATATGAAGTATCTAAATCAAGTCAGCTCCATCACCCACCTAATGAAATTGTGTTGGGGGGGGGGGGGGGGGGGGGGCATGGATTAAATTATGTGGTGGATAGGTAACTTTGTGGGGAACCACCCCAAGAAGACAAATATTTAAAAAAGCAAAAGGGTAAAATAAATAAAAAAAAGATTTGG